AGGAAAGAAGGTTTAGACGAGATGTGAGGAAAACTTTTTCACCCAGAGGTTGGTAGGGTAGTAGTGGCAGAAACCCTCATAACATCTAAGAAGTATTAAGAGGTGCACTTGTGATGTCAAGGTAGACAAGGCTATGGGTCAAATGCTGGAAACTGAAATTAGAATAGTTGTGGTTATTTTTGATGGCGTGGATGTGATGGACCGAAGGACCTTTTTCTGTACTGTAGGTCTCTATGACTCTGCAATTCTAAATTATACAACCTTTCAGTGATATCCTTCAAAGATGTCCTTTTTCTAAATGACTTTATCACTGCTTTTCCCAATCATTTTGAATGATTTTAACACTGCATGTTTGCTAAGTATCACAATTTAAGTCTTTCAGTTTTTCAGCCTTAATGTTTTCCTTGACTGTAGGAATTTTCACCCTACCTTTAAGTGACTGCTGGCTGCTGCTCTCTCAGAATCTAACTGGCCCTGTGTGCTTGCAAAATGCTGAATATTTAAAGATAAACTACATCTTCTGACTGGAGTGTTTTTCTTCATTCTTCTTTTCAGATGGATGTGGTTGTGGTAGAACTGAATATTTCTATTCAAATAAATACTTATCCAATTCTCTATTGAATGCCTCAGTTGAACCTGCCTCCAACACACTTTCAGGCAGTGCATTCCATATTCTAATGATAACGGTAAAGTCTTCATAATCCTTTTGGACCATAGGGCTGCTCTGTCATTAGAGAGAGAGATGACTGGTGATGGTTTAACGTGAGGGTCAGCACACCTCAAGCAAGGAGAGAGATTGAGAAAGAAAGTCTTCATGAACCTGACTCGGTGCAGGATCCACACTGTTGGTATTCCTCTGTCTTTAAATCTGTGCCCGTTTGTTGTTTTTTCTACTTTATCCAGCTGGCTTGTGATTTTGAAAACTTCAGTCAAATCTCCTCTCAGCTTTGTCCTCTTCGAGAAGAACAGTCCTAACTTCCTCAATTTATCTTTGTAACTGAATTTTCTCATTCCTGGAACCATTCTTGTAAATTGCTCTGCACTCTCTCCAATGCATTTACATTTTTCCTACAATGTGGTGTCCACAACAGTACACAATACAGCTGAAGTCTACCGAGTGTATTGTACAAGTTGAGCATTACCTCCCTGTTCTTGTACTAAGAACAAAGAACAAAAGAGAAGTATGGCACAGGAACAGGCTTTCAGCCCTCCAAGCCAGTGCTGATCATCTTGCCCTGACTAAACTGAAAAACAAACCTTCTGCCCTTATTTGGTCCATATCCCTCTATTCCCTCCCTATTCATGTAACCATCCAGATGCCTCTTAAATGTCGCCAGTATGCCTGCTTTCACCATCTGGCAGTGCATTCCAGGCTCCTACCACTCTCTGCGTGAAAAATTTTCCTCGCACATCTCCCTTAAACTTTTGCCCTCTCACGTTGAACCTGTGTCTCCTTGTAATTGAAACTTCAATCCTGGGAAAAAGTCTCTGACTATCCATCCTATCTATGCCTCTCATAATTTTGTAGACCTCTACCAGGGCTCCTCTCAGCCGCCATCTTTCCAGTGAAAACAATCTTAGTCTTTTTAACCTTTCCTCATAACCAATGTCCTCGAGACTGGGGAACATCCTGATGAACCTTCTGTGCACTCTCTCCAAAGCTTCCACATCCTTCTGGTAATGTGGCGACCAGAACTGCACTCAATACTTCAAATATGGCCGAACAAGAGTTTTATATAGCTGCAACTTGTTTTGCCAACTCTTGTGCTCTATGCCCCGGCTGATGAAGGCAAGCATGCCATATGCTTTCTTAATCACTTTGGGCACCTGTGTTGCCACTTTTAGGGAACTGTGGACCTACATGCCCAGATCCATCTGTATGTTAATGTTCCTAAGGATTCTGTCATTAACAGTATCATATATACCTAAATTTGTTCCTCCAAAATGCATCACCTTGCATTTATCAGGATTAAATTCCATCTGCCATTTCTGTGCCCAACTTGCCAATCTGTCTGTATCCTGTTGTATCCTTTCACAATTGTCAGCACTATCAGCAACTCCACACAATCTTCGTGTCATCTGCAAATTTATCAATCAGACCACCCACCTCCAGATCATTTATTTAAACTACAAACAACAGAGGACCTAAGACTGAATCCTATGGAACACCACTAGTTACCAATCTCCATTCTGAAAAACACCCTTCCACTGCTATCCTTTGTCTTCTATGACCAAGCCAGTTTTGTATCCATCGAGGCAGCCCACCCTGAATACCATGTAATTTTAGTTTTTGTACCTATCTGCCATGTGGGCCTTTATCAAATGTCTTACTAAAGTCCATATAAACTACATCCACAGCTGTTCCCTCAGTAATTATCTTTGTCACCTCTTCAAAAAATTTGATCAGGTCGGTGAGACATAACCTTCCCTGTACGAAACTATGCTGCCTGTCGCTGGCTAGTTCATTTTCTTCCAAATGTGCATATATCCTGTCCCTCTGTATCTTCTCCAAGAGATTCCCCACCACAGATGTCAGACTGACCGGCCTATATTTTCCTGGATTATCCCTGCTTCCTTTCTTAAACAAGGGAACAACATTGGCTAATCTTCAATCCTCTGGAACCTCGCCTGTGGTCAAAGAGGATGTGAAGATATCTGCTAATGCCCCAGCTATTTCTTCTCTTGCCTCTCGCAGCAACCTAGGATAGATCCCATCTGGCCCTGCGTATTTGTCTATCTTAATGCAATTTAAGATACCCAAAACTTCCTCCTTTGATATCTTGACATTCTGTAGAGTATTCACACACTCATCCCTGACCTCAACTCAGTCATGTCCTTCTCCTCCGTAAATACTGATACAAAGTACTTATTAAGGATCTCTCCCACTTCCTGTGACTCCACGAATAATTTCCCTCCTTTGTCCTTGAGGGAGCCTTATCTTTCCCTTACTACCCTCTCTCTTCTAATATACGCATAAAAAACCTTGGGATTCTTCTTGACCCCGTTTGCTAAAGACATTTCATGGGCCCCTTTCAGCCTTTCTAATTCTTCGTTTAAGTTCCTTACTAATTTCTCTATAATCCTCAAGGACTTTTTCAGTTTGTAGCTGCCTAGACCTATCATATGCTTCCTTTTTTATTTTGACTAAGTTTACAATTTCCCTTGTTATCCATGGTTCCTGGATCCTGCCATTCGTACCCTTCAGTTTTGCAGGGACATGCATGTCCTGCACTTTAATCTGGTCTTTAAAAGCCTCCCACATGCCAGATGTTGATTTGCTCTCAAATAACTGCTCCCAATCCACATTCCCCAGTTCTTGTCTAATTTAGATGTAATTGGCCCTTGCCCAATTAAACACCCTCATCCGAGGGCCACTCTTGTCCATGTCCATGACTACTCGAAATCTTATGGAGTTATGGTTACTACTGTATGCCCCTATTAATGAAGCTGAGAACATTTGGAATTGGACCCCCATTTTGTATTGTCTATCAAGGTTCTTCCAACTGAAGTGCATCATCTTACACTTCTCTGCTTTTAACCTCATTTGTCACATATCCCGAATAATTATTTTGATCAAAATGGTGTGGAAGAATGGAAGAAGATTTGCACTCGGTAATAGAATCAGTGTAGACACGATCAGACTAGTGGCCTCCTTTCACCCCAGGCCTCACACACCTTACGGACAGCTCTGCCTGCAACAGTCAACACACCCAAAAGATGGCTAGAGGGGGTTTAGCTACTGAAGCTCCTCTGCAGTACCAACAGCAACCTAATGTTCTGCCAATTCCATAGATGTCCATGCTGATCTCTCATTGGACACTTGAGTGATGGGAAGATCGATTGAAGATGATAGTGAAATCATTTACAGCTTGAATATACACGAACAATGGGAAGTCTACCACTCCTGAGCTGTTATGTGTGTTTATCTGTGTTACGGAAACATTGGTTACTGCAAAACTGCAGTATTGATTACACTGTTAAGTTTTCACACTTCCTAATCCAGGGACCAGCAACCTTTATAAACTTGAACTGAAAACAAAAAATGCTGGAGATCATAGCGGGTCAGGCAGCATCTGTGAAGAGAAAGCAAGCTACCGTTTTGGGCCTAGATGTCTCTTCATCAGAGCTGGTGAAGTGAACTGTGGATGGGGCAGCAGTTCTGCAGTCGTTGTCGGGGGAGGTTGGAGAGGGTAGAGTGCTGGGGGAGAAAGGATGTTGATAGATCAGATTAAGTGATTGGAATGTGCATATGCGTACATATGTTTGGGCTGCCAATTTGCATGAATTATGTATAAACAGGTTCACAAAGTAAGTGTAAAGATGACGATCCATAATAGTTTGATGGAAAAGCAGTAGGTTTCAGCTTTGGTTAAAAAAAATAAGAAATTCATATGTAAAACTGAAAGAATACTTTTTGTATTTATATTTTGCTAACTGCTATTTTTTTGAACTATAATTTTATCAATAAAGCTATTCTTTAGTCCTACTTTAAGATGAGTACATTGAAGTCCTATTTTGGCTATTGATTCTCATTATTAAAATAAATCTAATAGCACATTCAATTAATTTATCATCTCAGCCATCTTGCAAGCAGCGATGGTCACAACCATTGAAACCTGGTCCTCAAACCAAAGGCAGAATTTATAATCAAGTTCAGAATTGCTCTACAGAGCTGTGTGTGGGTTCAGAACCATGAATTATCACCCTTTTTCTAATCCATGAAATGTGAGATCAAGGCAACAAGGTAAGTGGACCGATAATATCGTCTCTCAGTCAGATGTAACTGTGTGTGGCTGTCAAACAAATTTACTTTGGAATCTCTCCTTCAGCTAAGCTGCTGCTTAAGTCTGCTTGTTTCAACATGTTTTCAACCGAACAAGCATCAAACCAATGCAATGATTAAGCATTTCTAGCTGACTTGGGAACTCCCTGAAAGCATTAATCCATTTCCCTACTTGTGTCGTGTGTCTATAAGAACGCAGCTTCCGATCAGTGAGCTCCCACTTCTAACGAGTGACACAGAGCTGTACAGAGGTGAAGTGTGGGATAGATTCACATCCAGACAGACAACATCTTGTAAAACCATGGCAGTACTATCCTCAACATATCTCATCTTAGGTAAGTGGTTGGCATTTAGAGCTGGAGACATGAAGGCAGAAATTATGTTCCACAGAACACATTCAGTTGGTGGTGACTGCATAATCTCTTTGAAAAAGCTAACCAATTAGACCCATTGCCCAACGCCGCTTCCCCTATCCTAACCTCTCAAATGCCTATGAATCCCTCTCACTGATTTTTTAAAGCATATTTTCATTGTGTTGGAAGGTGGGGAGCAATAGGGTTTGATATAGACAGCATCTCATCATTCTGTGTGGCACATTGCCTGTTGGCTCCATTCTCTCAACTGTCAGGTACCCGGGAAACCTAACGCTAATGCTTTTGCTGGACTTTGGAAAGAGCAATGGGCTCTTTTTGCATTAACTATCCCAGGCAAGTTAACACTAATGTGTCTAACCAGTGACAACCCACTCCATTAAAATATTTTCCCTAATACGTCACTTTTGTTTCTTTTCCAGTCGCCTTAAAAGAGTGTCCTCTTGTTCTTGATCATTTCACCAATGTGGAGAGTTTCTCCTTAGCTGTTCAGTCCAGACCTGTCATGACTTTGAACACCTGTATCAAAATTTCCTCTTGAGCTCACTACATAGGCTGACGCAGGAGGGAAGAGAATGCTTTACAGTCTGAGTTTCTTGACAATGCTAAGCCTCCCCTTTCCTCTTTGTAGAGGAGAGAGAGAGATCTCCTTGACATCTTGGACCATTTCATACCTATCGCCAACATCACTAAAATAAAATCAATGATTTAGTCATTTTCACATTGCTGCTTGTGAGCTCGTGTGCAAAACGTGATGTTCGTTTCATACATTCAACATTGACTGCACTTCAAAAATACTGCACTGGGTGTAAAGCATTTGGAGTGTGCTGGTCTTCTGAAAGACATTAGATCTGATTACTTCTTGACGATTAGATGGCTTCATATTACTCTCTCAATTGGCAGAATTGATCCGGTCCCAATTCATTGTAAGGTGCATTGCGGCCTGCACTCATGATAAACTTTGGACCAGCATGTCATGTGCAAGGTTTACAAACATTGTCTGTGGCAGATTAGTGGACAGAATAGCAGTGTCTTACAGGGTTGGGCGACACTGCCCTGACATAGTGTGCCGTGTGTGTGAGCCTCTCTCAGGATAGGTACAGTTTGTTTCAAATTTAAGCCTAACTGAATATAAGGACTTGAATTAAATAGCTGTTGAGAGGGTGACTTGGTGTACACTGTAAAAATTGGATGACTAAAGTATTGATCTGATTGGGGAAGCTATTCTACCCAAATCTTTAACCTCTTTGAAGGCATTTCCACATCAACTCCCTTTCACACATTGGGACTTTGCTTTTGGCTCACAGCTTGACAGTGCTTTAATTACAAGTTTCTTATTCTTGTTTGTAAATTTCAGTACAAATTGGTCAAGGAGAAGGCAAAGCCATGAATCATCTTTGGGCTTAAGCAGAACTATTAATGATAGATTAATACTAAATACTGCAGTACATGGTGTTCATTGATATACAATGCTCGACTTTGTAGTCACATTTGCTAAGGACTAAATCCATCTTCTTTGTATATTCTTGTCCATGTTGATCATGTTTTCTTGAATGTAGTGTGGTACAGTTGAGTTTGGTGTACTGTGTTCGAGTTCTGCCTGCACTGTGCTATTTATGCTCAATGATGTGTAGCAATGTGATATCATCACAAAGTTGCTGCAGGGTCTTGAAACCCTTTCAGAACATCCTCTAGCTCTGCAGCCCTTGGAGGTTACTGTGCTCCTCCGATTCTAGCCTGTAGTATATCTCTAAATTCATTGATCTGCAGTCTTGTTTTCAGCTATTTAGCTCTGGAATTCCCTCCATTCCTCTATATCCTCTTTTAGGGACCTCATAAAACAGTGCTGTTTTGTGGGATGGGAGAGAGAGAGACTCATGAGAGCAACGGGATGGCAGTGGTGGTGGGTTGCGATGTTGGGAAGGGGAAGTGATTTGGGCTACTCATGAGGTGTACGCATCTTTTCATTGGCTTTTTCACAGCAGGAATCAGGCCCCAAAGTTCGGCCGTACCCCCAACTTTTAAAAAAAATGGAGCATTTATGGGGGCCAGGCTGGTGTTACCACATGGTCCTAGCTCCACGCCAGCAATTGCTGGCTCAGAGGTTCAGAACCCAATCTTCTGGCTCACAGCCCCACTCAGGGGTCTACACCCACAGTTTATGAATCTCTATCATATTAATGACCTCCGTGACCAGGCTTTTGATCACGTGTGCTAAAATCTCCAGGCATAGCTCACTGTCAAATTTTGTACAAAAATCAATTCTGTAAATTGCCTTGGGACAATTTACTGTGTTAATGACATGGTATGAATGAAACATGTTGACCATCATGGAATACGATTTGGAATTTGTGCTCCACAATCATAATCCAACTTAACTTTTGTGCCCTGAAATGATGGAATTACTGCCTTGTGACCTATGACCTAAATACTAAACAGGCATGTGATGTTTGTGGGCTTGTCTATTTTATGTAAATTATATTTGGTCCATGTGGAGGTTCTGGTAGCCGTTGCGTGATTAACGCAGGCTCGAGGTCTGTTCGTCAGTTGACAAGTGATTGATTAATAACTTTACTTAGCGAGGCACTAATTAATGTACATTTGGAGAACAGGTGAGGTGTGTCTGTTGATGTTGCATTGCAGACTCAACCAGGAGAAGTACTCTAGTGCTCTGTTGATGATTGAGCAATTAACATGGCTCATTAATGGTGCTTGAAGGGCTGGGGTTCTTAAGCCGTAACCATGTACATTAATGTGAAAATTGTGCAGCTAGATAAACCATGATAGGTTTGGACATAGCAGATTCAGGTGAAACTGTATCTATTGGCTGCATTGGAGAGGCAGCTGGCACTGATTTAAGGCAATGGTGACACAAGGCAAAGTTTTTTTACACAGGTGGTGGTGAAGATTTGGAATGCACTGTGTGCTTCTTAAGTGGAGGCAGATTCAATTGTGGCTTTTGAAAAGGAAATTGGACATTTGGAAAAGAAATAAACTTGCATGGTTATGGTGAATTGGCGTCATGGGGAATGATATTAGTTGCTTCTTTGGTGAAACCAGCACAGACCCAGGAGACTTTTTTGTGGCTTAAACATTGCATGATTCTGTGAATGGAGCAATATGTATGTGGAGTTTTGCCATAGTGAGACTAAATGCATTGAGTAGTTGATGGACGATGGATTGAGCTTGACGAAACCAATTATATTTGTTATGACTCTGTATCTCTGTACAGTCCAGGACAAAAAACTGGCTATCCTACATGCCTTACTCATTGACTCTGCATTTACAGTTGAGGTCTCTACACGTTGCAGAGACTGAAGGAAACTATGTGGTTGGTGGTGAGGGGATATGCAGTTGTCAGGACTGCCTAGAGAACAGTGGGCATCAGGCCCAAAAAAACTGGCTGGGGTTCCCTGCCTACTGCGCTCTTCTGTATGTTCATTTCGCTGTCAGCAGTGCCAGGCACTCACCACAGCACTGGTTACCAGTGACAGATTAAACTATCCTAATTAACAAAAAAAATCCTCTTCAAGCAACAAATGGAACAACATCTATTTCATAAAGAATCTGGAAAAGGGATATTTCTGAGTAATCAAATGTTTCCTTTTTTTTTTACAGTGAACTACTTTGGGAGGTTAATGAATCAATTTATCATCTCCAGTGATAACTGCTCACCTTCTGTCTACTTTCAAAACAACATGGTCTGTGTTGGTGAGTCCTTAACCACAGAAGAAAGCCTAGCACCCTTCACAAAATCATGGTGTGCCTAAGCAGTTTACAGTCAAAGAAATAGCTTTTCACATCTGTTATAATATAGGAAATGTTATAGGCAATTTGAACGCAGCAAGCTTCCACAAACAGCAGTGAGGTAATGATCAGATAACCTGTTTTTAAGCACACCTGAGGGAGCAGAATGGACATCAGTTAAGTAAGTCACCTGGAAATAGCACTTCAGCAAGGGACTGGAGTGTTAGCCTTACCATGTGCTTAATTTCTGCAGTCAAGAGATAAACCGAAGAACTTCTAGCTTGAAGGCAATTCAAAACCATGTAATGATTGCACTTGTAGATTGGCATCTCATATTACTCTGCCTAGCATTTTTAGTCATTCTATAAGATTCTAGAATTACTTAGCTAGAATTTGGCTGTTCTAAACTTTAGATGGATTTCTGAGTAAAACCTTAGTGACACCAAACGTTGATGCTTTCTGAACCTGTATACTGGATTATGTCACTGTGCTGCAAGCTTATGGGTTTGGGATTTCACGCAGTTTTCAGACACTTGTCTGACCGTCCTTCATGAGATATCAAATTTCTGCCAGTGATTGCCATGCAGGGTGAGAGAGGTTATGAAAATGGCTAGGAGGCTCAGAAACAATCAGCCTGCAACTTACCCTGTTCTGTAATTCCCAGGAATTGTGAAAGGTTTATACAGTTTAGCAATTGATGCCAGCTTAAAATAATATCTCCCAGCTCCCTTCAATATCCTAACCCCTTCTATCTCCAAACTCCAAAGAAAAAATATTCACTGGCTTCTATTTGAATATCTTAATTGCTGTAATTAAAATGTTGTTCTAAAACCTGCTTACATTTCAGATTATGACCACTGTGATATGGATCGAGTCATTCAAATCAAAGACTGTTCAGGGGCTGTAGCGTGTCAAGATGTACCTGTGGGTTTGCACTGCCAATGTGTCAAAGGAGAAAATTCCTTTTTAGCAGAACTTTCCAGTTTGTCACCAAGCTGCAGAGGTAATAGGAAGGAATCACGTGTTATACCTCTGTGCTAATTGTAAAATGTTTCAGAATGAATCCATACTGTTTGTGATCTTTCTTGAGCACTTTGAAAGAGGGAGAGTGAGTTGGGGGTTTAGTCAGAGTGAGTGTTGGCCAGAAGAGTTGCTAACAATGTTGCACTTCAGCTCAGTTTCCCCTGTAGGTCGAGTAACTGAGCATTTTTAAAAGACTGAGTTAAGAGAAATCTATGGTAGACAAGGGAGTCGGAAGTTATGGGACTGGACAGGAAAGCGAATTTGAGGCTACGATCAGATCAGCCAGGATTTTATCAAATGTTGGTACAAGCTTGAATGGCTGATTGTCCTACTTCTGTTCCTAATTCAGGTAGTTGTTCGTTCATATGTCTGCAATGAATGGGAAAAGAGAGAGGGACATGAAACAAAGGACTGAAACAGAAGGATACAGCAACAACCTTTTCATGCCCCAATACTATCCCTGACAACAACTGCTTATATTTATATAGAGCCTTTAACACAATTGCAAGAGAAATGGAATGGAAAAATAGGGATGTTTTGCTCTAGTTGTATACTGTTTTGGTGAGATCACATCTGGAGTACTGTGCACAAGATTTTGCCTCCTTATTTGTAAAAGGACCTGAAATAACTGTACAAAGGCCAGTATCCCGTCACCAGGTTACCATTTATTTATATGTCCACAGTACACTGGCTGTGGCCAGCCAGCTCAGAGTCAGTCCCTCAATTCGGGATTCTGTGAACCCCATGTTTATATCTATCAGCCAGGGCTTCATGATTGGCCCAGGTGACCAACCCCAATCAAAGATCTTGAAGTCAATAAGATCCATCTGGTTCAAATCACTACTTATCTCAGCCCCCAGGTCCGGGGATGTAGACCTGGTCTTCCTCTGGTAGCTTACGCCCAGTCTGGTTCCTCTGACTTGGACACGGGCAGTGCATGCTGGACCGTAGTTGTCTCCTGTGTCTGGAGCATCTCGGTACAATTTCCTCTTCTTCTTCCGGTGGTAATAGTTTCGAGGCTGCATCCACCTCGGACTCAGGTTTCCTTGACACCAGGCCGAGGAGGAGAATCCAAGGTTTCTGACAGGCCATCTGGCTGTTCTGAGATATGTTTTGCTCCTGCCTCCTTTGTGAGGTAGCAGCTTTAGGTGATCCATATGTTTGTTCAAGACCGCCTCACCTACCCAAACTTTGTGTGTCACTGGACCCGACCTCGCATCGACCTCACCTCGTACCCATGCAGGGCCATTTCCATGCATTCTCTTGAATATCAGCCTACGAGTTTTCTTACTCAAGTCAGGCCTTGTAGGACACCTATGCCATCTCGAGTCTGCATACTGGCAACAACTACAATGGCTTCCCGGCCCAGATCCTGAAGAACGTTTTAGCCATTTGGCCAAGGCTCAGCTTTGTTGTGGGGTTTTGCTGTGGCTTGGTCTAGGGTACTTCTGCTCAGGATATGCCCTGCGATTGCCTACACTCGAGTTGTGTTCCCCAAACTCCGTTGGGCAGGTGAGGATGTCCACTTCTATTGGGAGGCCCTGTAGCTCCCATGCTCCATGCTGCATTTTCTAATGATGAAGCCAGGTGCAATGCTTGTTTGAAGTCCAGTTGGGCTTCAGCTAGTAAGTTCTTTTGCCTGGTTACATCATTAATCCCACATACCTAGTAGTCTCTCAGCATCTCATTCAGGGTTAATCCAAAATCACATGCGTCTGCCAGTCATGGTAACTTTGTCAAAAATCGCAATACGGATTTCCCCGGTTCTCTAACAGCCACATAAAACTGATAGCCCCTCAGAACTAGAGGTTTGGGGTTGTAATATTCCTTAACCAAATCCATCATCTCTTGGAAGGTTTTAATAACTGGTGCCTCTGGGAAAGTTAAGCCATTAATAGCTGAAAATGTTGTAGGTTTGCAAGCAGTCAGAAGGATTACTGATTGCTTTTCAAGTGCCCCAATGTCATACTGGGCCCAATCTTCGATGGCAGGATCGAATGAGTCAAGCTTCCCAAATAAAGGCATGATGCCAGAAATGCTTACCCAATTCCAAAATGACTGTTGCGAGTGAATGTTCTTCAGACACATATGGTTTTCTCCCGTTTCCACTGAGACAACTGCACAGAAAGCAGATATCCCACCACCAAGTTATCATTTATTTACATGTACACAGTACACTGGCTATGGCAAGCCAGCACAGAATTAGTCCCTCAAGTCAGGGGACTCTGAATCATCTATTTATGTTTTCAGCCAGCACTCTCTATTTGGCCGAGGTTAATAACTGCAAGCAAGCATCTCATAGTCAATAAGAAAAACCTGGTTCCAATCACTACAAAACCTAATTGCATTAGAATCAGTTCAGAGAAGGTTCACTCAGCTGATTTGTGGGATGCAGAGGTAGCTTATGAGGAAAGGTTGGACCCGTGACCATTCAAGTTTGGAATAATGAGAGGTGATACTATTGAAAGACCACTTGCTGAACTTTTAAATCGTCAATTGAGCTTTTGAAGCCAAAGAAATAACTGCGCAGCAGAGGATCCTGTCACACAGGTTTTAAAATGGATATTCCAGACTTGCACCTTTTACTCTCTGTCTGCAGGAGAGACAAAGCGGCTTTGGTCAAGCAGTGAGGACAGAAATAGCATGGGGAAATCTGACTGGCATTTTGCAAACCCTGTTTGCTTTTTTTTACAAGGGACAGAAGTCCTGGTCACCAGGATCATGTTCGCCATGAAGAAAATAAGCAGCTGTAAAACCAAATAGAACACCAAAAATCTGAATGTCACACTTGCAGGGCCCAATGCACATCCTCTCTTGTCAAAGTACACTTAGTCCGCCAGAAGACCAGAATGTCTTGCTGGGTGTTGCTGTGCAGGTAGTGTGAGCTTGACCCTCAAGGCCACATGCAACTCTTCACCCCAAAAAAAGCAAAGGTTCCAAACATTTATTTTCTCTCCACAAAATCCTCTTTTCAGCAAAACAGTTATATCAAAGGACTACTTTCAAGTATTTGATTTTTTCTGCAGAGATTGACCAGCGTTACATCAACAATACGATGGTCTTGAACTCTAAATTTTGTCCACCTGGATACTATTTTGAGAGGAGAATGTTCTGCTTTGGTGAGTTATTGTCAATGATGCGTCTTCTGTCTTTCTGCCCTTCTTAAAATGGCCGACTGTGGTGTGGATGTCAAATACCACTGTGGTTATGGTGCTGGATTAGTAATCCAGACCCATGATTTATGGGCAGGGATTCAAATCCTAGCAATTATATAACGCTGGAATTTAAGAAAAATACTAATTTCAGCAAGGGCAATCATTACACCATCTTTCACAAAAAACACGTGACTTACATATGTCCTTGAGAGAAAAAAATACATGCAGTGCCCTTTGTGATTCCAAAGCTAACAGGGGTATGAGAAAGCAGTGCGCCACCATCAGTTTCCCAAGGGAAGTTAGGGATGAGCAATAAATGCTGATGTTGCTAGCAAACATTGTTTGCAACCAATAAATGCATCCATTCAAAGAAAATGACAAAATACCTTTGTTTTTATTGCCTACTCAATTTTACTCTGGGTCATGTGCAGAGGTGTGGAGAATAATTCTTATTTCCTGAAAACTCCACGGCATTCGTGGATGGTTGGCAACTTTCTTCTGATCGGTAGATATTAAATGCAGGATACACACTGGCTTCTGCTCCAGGAAAGGCTTCTAAAAAGAGTCATTGAGCAATGAATATTAGCATAAACTCCTAGAAAATGAGAATTCTTCAAATAGATCAGCTTCATCTTATTAAATGGCAGAGTAGACTTGAAGAAGCAAATGGTCTACTCCTGGCCCTTGTTTGTATGTGACATCTATGTAGCAACCTCAAGAAGGTCCAAAAAGCATTCTAACCAATGAACACTTAAAAGGGCTGCGATGCAGGAAACATGATGGCCCATTTGTGCACAACAGACTCCCACAAGCAGAAATTTGATAATGATCAGATTATCTGTTGTGGCATTAATTGAGGGATGAATGTTGTCCTGGACAAGACTTCAGCCAGTATTGAAAGTATTCATTGAGTTCCTTTTTGAAGTTGCTGTTGCGTCAGCTTCCATCTTACATTCAGCAGCATGTTCCAGATCATTCAAACTCAATGTGTGAAAAGTTGTCTATTTAAGGAAAATAATTCCAATTTCTCTCATTTGTCCATGCACATGACTCCCTCAGCCCATGACACCATTCCAGTAAGTCTCCTCTGCATTCTCTTTAAGGCTTTGACATACGCCCTACAGCTGCGGACAGCAACAAACACAGCAAGCATTGGAGAGCAGTATCAAAGAAAATGGCATTGACAGCAATGATTTGGTGTCACTGCCATGTGGTGGAGTTGGTCATATATAGCAAAACATACCTCAACCACCTGATGAAAAATTTACCAAGTGGAGCATAGTCCTTTCCACTCTGGGTGGTTACAGAGGCATTATCGAATCAGGAGGTGAGCTCCACATCACAAAATACCCAGTTTCTGACCTGTTTTGGTTGCTTTGGTGTTCATGTGGGTGGCCTATCTGAGTTACTGCATTGTTCAGTAACTGGGATCAATAGAAGTTACTGATAGTTAATCCCAATATTTAAACCCAGATTAAAAATAATCTCTGTGTGTGCTTCAATTCGTCAAAAGATGAAAAGATTCTTTGTAACATTAGTTTTCCTTTTTTGTTTCAGAGTGGGCTTGTGATCTGCAAGATGATGTTAAGATTAACTGGTGTACGATAAATAGACGATGTTTTGATGCCCCTAATTATCTCTATTGTAAATGTAGGCAAGTGTTTCAATCAATTAAAGCACAGATGGATGCAAGTTCACAAAGGTGCATAGGTAAGTAGGACAATTATGAATTCTATATACCTAAGAAATGAAAACTGTCAAAAATATTTTGTGATAGAGTGCAGATTGTCATAATCCCAGGATGAAGGGGTTGACCATTTTGGACCGAGATGAGGAGAAATCTTTTCACTCCAAGGGCTGTGAATCTTTGGAATTCTTTTCCCCAGGGGCTGCAGGTGCTCAATCATTGGGTAGGTTCAAGACTGTGATAGATGGATTGTTGGACAAGAAGAGAGTTAGTGAGTATGAAGGTAGTGAGGGAAAATGGAGTTGATGTAGAACTTCAGTCACAATGTTCTTGAGTGGACTTGATGTGGTGTATGACCTACTCCTGCCCCTGTTTCTTATGTTTTGTCCTGTGGAGCTCACTGCAATCTCAATTTCAACCCTTTAGTTTCTTTAAAAACAATTCATCAGGAACATGTGTTTTTAATTTAAAAAAAACACAGGTCCTTATGGTGATGGAAACCATTGGCATAAAGACAACTCACATAGCTTCACTTTGAGGCACAATGCTGGAAAATGGCTGGCCAGCAGAAGTCCACAGATGTTATGGTTGGTTATGAAGGTTATGTAAACTTTGGGTAGTTAGAAGAGGTTAATGGAATGTTGGAATTAATCTCAAGACAGCTAAGATTCAAAGCTGTTGGAGATATGGTACAACAGCACACGATGTAGGATAGACCCCTCTGGAGTCTTGTATTCAGCTCTACACACTGCACTTTCAGGCAAGCTATATTGCCTTTGGAGGGGATGTAGTCTAGGTTCATCAGATTGATACTGAAGGTAAAAGAGTTAAATTATGAGGGTAAGTTACATAGTCCAGGCTTGTGTTCCTGGGTTAATCGAAGATTCACCTTCAGCATTGACATCTTTAGTCCTTCAAAACCAGAATAATGCATACAGAGCTTCATGACTTGTGTATAAAAATGATCTTAAGATGAGTACAGGTCGATAGAGAGAATTTATTTTTTCCCAGGGAAAATTTCAGAACAATGTCAAAATTGAGCTAGGCTGTTCGAGGGAGATGCTATGAAGCAAGTTGGATTATATTAGGGAGGTGGGAAATGGTTAGTCTAGTGATAGTGAGAATATGCGGTCAGAAGCCAAACAAAATGCAGTGAAAGTCTGGAACTCTGTCCCTTAAAAAGCAGTTATGGATGAGGATTAATTAAAAATTTCCAAACTGAGATGGATAGATTATTGTTCATGAAGAGTACTGAAGAATTGTGGAACCAGTTTTGGTTGACAAAGTTGGATACAGATCACACATGGGCTAATTGCATGACAGAACTTTCTTGAGAGGCTGAATGGTCTATGTCAGTTCCTTTATTCCTAAATAATTGCTTCCATACTGATTGATCTGTCCAGACTTAACTGTTTAAGAACTTGACCCTTTAATATTTTGGCCAGATCTGGAATAGATTGGTTGAATCACAATTCTGCAAGATTATGGGAATCTTATTGTGGAGAATGTTTAACTTTAAAGGACTGAGTAGATGTCAGTGTTGCTCATTGTACCAGTGGCACTTCAGTACACATTGCAAAACTGCTGCCAACTCAGAAGAACATTCTGCGAGAATCAGCAGCAGCTCTGTTGGGCTTTAAGCAGAATTCACAGCATAGGTATAGGCTGCTTGATCCAGTTGGCCTATACTGCTTATATTTTGTCTTGTTTGTGTGGAGCCACGGATCTGCTGTACAGGTGGTCCTTGATTAGTGCAGTTTTGATTAATGGGGTTTTGCTACACATAATTTGCACTTTACATCCCAAGATTCCAATATGTGCGCCTAATTCGTGATGATGCAGTCCTTACTTGACTCCAGCAGCACAGAGAAATATATGCACACCAGAACTCACCATTCCTGGGTATGTTGCTGTCCTTTCAGCTGGTTTTAGATGTTATCTAATAATTTTTTAAAAAAGTGTCCACAGCTTTGCACCACCAGATAAACATGAGGCAAGAAACATCAAAAGATAATATATCTGCATATTTTCTTGTCCATTTGGATGTTTCATATTAAGCATGAGCTTATGTTCAGTACTTGTTTGACATTCAAGGAACATAGCTTGAATATTTACATGGATTTCTATGGGAATGAGTGTTTTGAATAATGTGGTTTTATTTAACGTGGTGATTTTCAGGAATGTAACTGCTATTGTGTTAGCATACTGTTGTGTTATTGTAACTATTATATTGTGTTATGGTAGCACTATCTGTACTTCCTCAAAATGGATGTTTACAGCCAGTGAAGTGTAATTGAAGTGTGGTGCACACAGGAATCAATTTGCATACAGCAAACCATATGGATTGCTGTTTGTGGGAGTTTGCTGAATGCAAATTGATTCCTGTGTGCATCACACTTCAATTACACTTCACTGGCTGTATTCATCCATTTTGAGGAAGTACAGATAGTGCTACCACAACACAATGTAATAGTTACAATAACACAACAGTATGCTAACACAATAGCAGTTACATTCCTGAAAATCACTGTGTTAAATAAAACCACATTATTCAAAACACACATTCCCATAGAAATCCATGTAGATATTCAAGCTATGCTCCTTGATAATTGGTTAATTTTTTATAGTGATATCAGTTGAGGGCTAAAGGTTAGCCAGTATTTGCCTGATCTTCAAAATGGTGCCATGGACTGTTTTGCATCCACATGAGATGGAGTCTAAATTTAACATCTCCCAAAGACTGCGCAGGTGATAGTACAGCATTCCGTCATGATTGCACTAGAGTGTCAGCCTGAATTATCAGCTCAAATTCCTGAAGGAGAATTTTGAAACCACAGTCTTCTAACCTAGCAGTGAGGATGTCACTGCTGAGTTCTAGTTAACGTTTGTAGAGGTTCTGACCTTATATTCTTACTATTACTGAGACTAATTGTTTTCCACCTCCCTAATATCATCCAACTTCTCCCTGTCTTAACCCATTTGTACTTGAAACCCACCTCTATGTATTTGTTTCCCTAGACACAACTATTCCAACACACTCCTTATTTTCTGTAAACGTGGTGTCACCCAAAACTCTGCCGCTTGTGTCTTAATTCACAACAAGTCCCTAATACCTGCTCACTGATCTACATTGAATCCTGGTCAAACAACATCTGGATTTTAAAATGCTCATCCCTGTATTCAAATTCCTTCAGACATCACCTTTCCCTGTCCCTGTTGTCTCTTCCAACCTCACAACTCTCTCAGATATCTGTGCTTTTCTAATTCTGGTCTGATGAGCACCCCCAATTTTCATCGTTTCATTAGTGGTGTGAGTTGTCATGCTCCCAAACTCTGGAATTCTCTCCCTAAACATCTCTGCTTCTCTACCTTGCTTTCCTCCTTTGAGCTACTCCTTAAAAGCTTGGTCAAATATTTAAGTTTTGTTCATCTGACTTAATATCTACTTACGTATTTTGGTGTTACAGTGTGTTTTGTAATGGCCCTGTAAACATCTTGAATTGTTTCCAATTGTGTTAAAGGCACAATACAGTTTAAGTTGTTGTCGATATTGAGCAGCACTGTGATAGCACCTAGTTTGTTACCAGAGCATTATCTGCACTGTTGATTTTTCCCTATCACAGGTATTTTGGATCTGAAAGGGGCTTGATTTGCGTACTTATTAATGTGACTGTGATGTGGGAGAGACTTAGACAAACACTCATATGTTTAATTTGATTTTAGACGTTGACGAGTGTCTTCAAAATCCATGTGGTTCTGAGCAAGTCTGCACAAATAAACCTGGAAGCTACAGTTGTGATAACAACACCTGCATTGGTAAAAACAAAATTAATTAAGTTTTTATTATGTTAAAGGAAAGTGCCATGTGAAATTTAGGTTGATACTCAGACACACTGAACCAGGTCAAATGATGTATTTTTTTCTCTGGTGAAGCTGTGGCTGAGTGTCGCGTTTTACAGCTCCCTTTGTTATCCATCAACCAGACCGTCTGCTTCTATTTCTGAAGCATCAACCTACTCTGCAGTGGCATCATTCATGACTATCTCACCTCCAGACCCAACTTCTTGAGAACTTCCTAACCTCTGTTATATCTGAAATCGAATTGGTCCAAAACTCTGCTTTCGATTCATCACTAAATCCTGCCCACTCTCATGAGACCTATCCTCACAAATCATTAGTGGAACCCAAACCTGTGCCCCCAAAGTTTCCATTTACAAATATGCTTTTGTATGCATCCTGTGCCTCTCAAGCAGTGACATGTTCGAATCACTTCAGACAGATTTATTCTCTGTCATATGACCAAATCAGTTCTTAACAAAGTGATGTCTTTTGTAACCATGACAAAAATAAACTTTCCATCTTCGAACCTCTTGACCTATGCACAGTCTTTGATGCAGTTGACAGTGCCAGCCTCCTCAAACCCCTCACCGTTGTTTGGTGGGGCCTGTTCTTACCTTGTTCCATTCAGTATCTCTCTCATCGTAGTCAGAGATTCCCCTGCAGCAAAAACAAAATGTTAGAAAAGCTAAGCAGGTCTGACAGCATCTGCGCAGAGAAATCAGAGTTAATGTTTCGAGTTGAGTGACCCTTCCTCAGAAATTTAATTCTGATTTCTTCCCAGAAATGCTGCCAGACCTGCTGAGTGTTTCCAGCAATTTCTATTTTAGCTTCTGATTTACAGTATCCGCAGTTCTTTCGGTTTCTTTGCAACAATCTCTCCTGCTTTCTGCTACACTGTTACCTTTGGTATCCCCCAAAAATCTGCCCTCAACCCCTCCTATTTCTCATATTGCACCTTGCCAACATCATTCCAAAGCATAGTATCTGTTTCCATAAATACACTGATGACACCCTACTCTACCTCACCACAACTCTCTTAACACTTTGACTCCTCTGTTGTTGCTGACTTATCAGTCTTCTAATTGGGCTTCCAGTACGAGATGAGCAATAATCTCCAATTAAATATTGGGAAGTCGGAAGTCAAGGAGCCAAGGATCTGCTGTACAGGTAGTCTTTGATTAATGCGATTTTGATTAATAGGGTTTCACCACACATATTTTGCACTTTACATCCCAAGATTCTAGTACGTGCGCCTAATTCGTGACAACACAATTCTTACTTGACTCCAGCAGCACAGAGAAATAAATACACACCTGAACTCACCATTCAATTAGATCATTTTTACACACAAGTCATGAAGCCCTGCATACATTATTCTGTTTTTGATTGCCACTCCAAGCTCCATTTCCTCCATCTCCAACCCCAGTCAGACATTAAGCCAGCCTGTTTGCACCACTGGCATTATTACATTGTGTGCAAACTTGCTGCTGCATTTGCTGAAACAGTGATTGCAATTTACAAGGACTTTATTGTCCATTAAGCATTTTGCAAAGTACTGTGGTCATGAAAGGCACTATATAAATGCACATGATTTTTTTTTTTACTTAAGACAACCTGGGAATGGCAATAAATGTTGGCCTTTCCTTCATCATCCACACCTGTGAATGAGTAAATGTGAATATATACATGATTTCCATTTGCTTTTGTAACTCTTGAATTTCATGTTTAAATGTCTTCATAGATCAGAATCAATTTAACATATCACAGTGCAGTTTCATTCACTGGGACCAGCAGATTCAGGTATGTTACCACACCACATTACATTGCTATTCTGTGCTTTGCCCTGAGCGAATTTGGTTTTCATCAATGAAGCAAAATGGGCTATTAGTATTTCTTTACTATTATGGGAAAGTGTAAAATGGAGCTGTCTTCTGTCAAAGCATGGAATCTGATTGGTGGTGAGTTTGAAGGTATGAAACATTTAATGTGATAGAATGGGAGCATGGCTGACCCTGCCTCCATCCGGATTAAGTTCTGACTGGGAGGTCCCGGGTTGAGTTACCCACCCCACTAATGAAGAACCTCATCATCCCATGGCCTCTGGCTATTGCCATTGAGTGTGCATAACAGGTCAAACTGAAGAGGCAGCTTGTCACCTCAATGGGATAGGAGGGGCCCCATAGTCAAAGGCACTTAGTGCCAGGTCAAGAGACGCCTCCTGCACTTACTATGAACCATTCTGCCCGCTTCTCTCCTTGCAACCTCCAGCCCATGAATCTCTTCCTCTCCAACAATATTACTTAGCATGTTCATTGGACCATAAAACGTAGGAGCAGAAGTAGGCCATTTAGCCTACCAAATCTACTCTGCCATTTAATGAGATTATGGCTGATCTGATAATCCTCAGCTTCACTTTCTTGCCTTTTCCTCATAATCATAGATCGGCTTCCTGATTAAAAATCTGTCTATCACAGCCTTAAATATACTTAACAACCCAGCCTTAACAGCCTTCAGCGGTAAAGAATGGCCTGGTATGTCCACTATTCTGGACTCTTGTGGGTGCACTTTTGCCAGCAATTACTGCCCCCTCATTGTGGGTGCTGGGCACAAAGCTGTTGGCCTCTGGTTGGCAGCTCTCACCTAGAATGAACTTTCACCCCGGGGCCATGATTCCAGGGGGGACCCAGGCATTGGTCTTGTCAGTGCCCGATTGACATGGGGTTCGACAGCCTTCCCACAAAGAGGCATTGCTGGTTGCTTGCTCGTTCACCAGCCAACTGGTGAGACACCCAATGCTGTAACAAGAGTCTGCTCCATGTTTTGCACTATTGATGAAGACCAGTTCCACCCATTCTAAGTCTAGGTTCAGAACTAACTGGCTACAAGGGAATCTTTCCTCTTCTCTGCTCCAGAATTAAGTCTCACACCTCAATGCCTGTATCCATAGGTGAGCATGTGCTATTTATGTATACACAGAGCATTCACGTATGTTTGATAATAAATACACAGAGCATTCACGTATGTTTGATAATGATAAGTTATATGATAGTATTTATGATATGTTATTCATGTGATTTCTTTGTGTGCACATGTTTGAGCCCTGTAAACCTCTGCTGACCCCTGAAGATTTTGCGAATTAATAATTCATAGCGGACTGAGATTCACTCTCTGCTCCTAAAGATGTTCAAGCTTTGTTTTCTTCCTTCTCACAGACTCCCTGGTATACATTCCACAAATATTGTTCTGAGGTTAATTCGATTGTTGTTCTCGTGAATGAGCAGTGTCAGGCTCGGAATGGTGAGCCTATATTTCAGGTTAGTCACATCAGATAGCACTTCACAGGATGAAATTGATAATTCAGCCCTGGGAGTTTCCAGAACTTGGTCTACATGTCTGAAGGCATGGCTGCATAATGAGGGAGTAAAGGAGCAGGGGATAGAAAAAAGACTTAAACGGAAGGAGTGTAAGATGTTAGTGCATTTTAAAACTAAACAAGATTTCATAGATAAGGAATAAGGTGGGTGAGGGCATGAAGCAATTTGAAGACAAGGAGCAGAAGCCCATGTAGGTCAGAGCGCAGAGTGGTGATGGTGAAAAATGGAGCTGTGGTCACAATTTGCAGTTGCAGCTGGGTGCAGTTTCTGCACTGGATTTGCAAGTCACTCAACCTGTCGTACGATATTGACAATATAAAGCTCATGTCCACACCTACTCTGCCAAATAATCTATGTCCCATACATGTTCAAGGTGAGACTCTGAAATATGTTACCTTTCTTAAGGAATGGAAAAAATATTGGTCTGGCCAGCTATACTAACCTCCTGTGAATGAATCGAAAAAGTTGTTTCCCTTAACTCTCAGTTGCCTCTCTCAAAAGACCATTATTGGTGAGGAGCTCCAACACCAAATCTGCGCAGCAAGTCAGCCTGCTACAAGCTATGGGAGAGAGTGTTTGACAACAAAGACCTCCATAAGTCAACTAAAGTCCTACAGAGCAGTTGTCACCACATTCTATTATTGCAGAGAGACTTGTATAATGTATTAGCAGCACATGAGAAATTCCACCGCAGTGCTTCTACCACATTCCCCAGACTGAAAGAGAGGGTTGCTGAACAAACACTGGTGTCCCTCATGAAGCAAGCTCCACAAGTGTCCAGGCAACACTCCTGCAAAACAATGATTGTCTCTCTCCCTTTCCGGTTCCTGTTCTGTCACATGGCCAGTGTTCCACAGGAGGACAAAAATAACTTCTCTGAAGTTTTCTGTTTGCCACAGCTGCATTGAGATTAATGACAGGGACACACTGGCTACCAATCTTTCAAAATGCTGACAACCAGTCCAAAAAGCTGCATCATGCTTTTGAATTCATGATATCTTAATAATGAGGCAGAGTGGTAGCAAGGAAGGAAAGAAAACAAAGCAAATCCTGCATTCTGGATACTACCCTAAGAACAGCATGCACCACATGCTCAAAAGTCTGCAGGCTGAAAATTGGCCTGTACGGAGACACAAAGACCATTTTAGAAACTGGCTGTACTGAGTAGATGCTATCCTCAAATCGAGAAAGAGCTGACTGTGGCAATTAGTGAGTTGTAACTCAACAGGCAAGCAGCAGAACATTGCAGAATTTCACGTTTACAGAGTGTGGAAGGTGAGGGACATGCCGGTGGAACTTGCAAAGGTTATGCCTGGTATGAGGCAAGAGGGGCTATTGATGGAGCCAGTATGAGGTTGGGAGTTCAGCCTTATTCGAATAGCATTGAGCCTATGAAAAGTCAGTTCAGTCTGAGGCAGTGGCCAGGGCAAGGGAAATGGAATTGATGGCTAAAGAACAGAGTTTGTGGTTGGAACATCATTAAGCTTTTTTTTAATAAAAATGCTTTTTTTTATTTAATGTTAATGGTGAAATAATTAAAATATCTTGTCTTCCACAGAAAATTCTTTCCATTGCAAGTGAACTACTAAGGAATGACTCCTTATGGGAGAACTTGGAAAATGAAGAACGGTTTTATTTGGCTTCTATATTCCTGAAATCAGTGGAAAACACTGCAATAGTTGCCAGTCTAGATTTACCTGATCAAGGAAGGAGAATTGTATCAACTGAAAATATCGGTACATTCAGCAGACATATTTTATTTGATATATTTTCTTGAGGCAAGTGTGTGTGGCTGATACTGACCTTCTATGCAATACACATAGTGTGGAAGTTATTGACAAAACACTCCTCAATCATTTTTCAATCACTGGGATTCAATGAATTGACAATTCTTTTGTAAGGGAACACATTTGTGCCACCAAAGTGGAAATATTACACAACACCAAAAGAATAACATTCAGTGTCAATTCTGATAAGGTGTAGAAGCTGCTTGGTTTTCAACCCATTGACTCAAGTGCGGATAGTAATGACAAATCCCAGCTGACACTTCCAGTGCAGTGCTGCACTGTTGGTGGTACCATCTTTCAGCTGACTTCAAACAAGGCTCTATCTGCCCTCTCAAGTGAGTTTAAAGATTCCTGACACTGTCTGGAGGAAAAGCAAGAGGATTATCCCTTGTATTCTGAACAATATTTACCCCTCAACCAAAGTCTTCAAGAACAGGTTATCTGGCAGTTATCACATTGGGCTTAGTGGGAGCTTGCCGTGCACAGTTGATAGCCACATTTCACACATGCTCCCACATTGACTACACTCAAAAAATAGACTTCATTGTCTTTAGGGTGCTCTGAACTAGTGAAAAGCACCATTTAAATGCATATCTTTCTTTTAAAATTATCCCTGAGAACCTTTTATTTAATGCAGAAGTTAGAAATTCCTGTTCAGATATTTTGTGACTAAATGCCATCTCCAGATGACTACGACTGGTGCCATCATATATTGTCGTGGTCATCCATCCAAACCATCTGGGATGTTTTCGGTAGATTTGCTGCCACCAGTCTTTCTTGTGGTTATCGATCTAACCCACAAATACCATGTAGGGAATAATGCCGGCACAAAATCTTTGGCAGAAGATAGCCTCAACGTTGAGGTTTATTACGCAGTACTTAATAGCCAGTTACATTACATCTGACATGCATGAAGGTATCTTGTGAGACACTAGGACAAGAGGAGATTCATTTTACGACTACAGAAACATTCTCAGACACAAATTGGTAACAAACACAGGACCAAAAGCAGAAGTGGTTTGGGCACTGGTTATCTCCTCCTTGGAGGAGTTGCCTGATGGGCAGACCTTAACTAGTGATATTGGTTGACTGTTTCGAGTAATAGCTTTCTTAAACAACGTCTGTGATTAAAACTACTCTGACAGGAAACATTTACAGAGCTCCTTTGCTTTAATTTTTAGATCTGGAAATACAAAACTTTCAAGGGAAAAGTGCTTCAGACCCTGATATAATCAGACTCCAGACAAAGGGCACCTTTATAGATGTTAGTCGAAGTAGAATCAACAGAGATAAAACAATGGGTAAATTTAATTTTCTTCTGTTAATCCTTTTCTTGTTCCATTTCTCTCAGAAGCCAACTCGACTTATTTTCGTACCTAAATCATAGAGTGGAACATTTCAGGTATTTCAGGTTCTGGGAATGCTGCAGTGACAGACATTGAAATACCAATAATTGGCATTCTAAAGTGTGTCTGAGCTGTGGTGAATCGATAATACCCTGTTGGCATGTTCACTCTTGAAGTGCTCATTTGCCACAATGTTGACTAGCTCTGCAAAGAATTATCTCTATGTATGCTATTTTGTTTTGTGGGTGCTCCACACAGACACAGAAGTCTAAAATGGTGGGGATGAATATGCACACTTGGGGGAACAGGGTGTAGAAGATTGTATAAGTAAAATACTGCTTTTACCTACAGCTGGACAGGGCCAGGGGCTTTGGCTGACAGCTGTACAGGCACATTGAAATATGATCAGTTATTTTAAAGATTGCTAATTTGTTTTTTGGGATATGGCCTCACTGGCAAAATGGACATTTATTGCCTACACCCAGCTGCCCTTCGAGAAATGGGTGATGCGACTCCTTCCCAGCAAAAGAGGAAGGAACTTCTCCCTGGTGTGCTGGCCAATATTTATCCCTTGACCAGTATCACAGAAAAATATAGATAATTTGGCCGCTGCTATTTGTGGGGGCTTTCTGTGTGCAAGTTACTGCACTTCCAAAATGACAACAGTAATTACTTTTCAAAAAGTGCCTCAGATTTGGGGATATCTGAAGGTGGAAGTTTCTTACATAAATGCAAGCCTTTTTGTTGCATTCCAATGAGTTCCCCACATTTTTATGTGAAATTACAATGTGAATCTTCAGACTTTCTTCCTGTGGAAGGTCAAGAGATTCATTGTTAGAATTTAGGAGAGAGCCTTTTATCCTTGATATGTATGTTTAAGTATGTTAAAATTGTATGATATAACTGACCCTGGAATTGACAAGTCTGGTTATATGTACTGATGGAAGTTTCACTTCTAAACTCTAACCAGTCAAACAACCTTTATTTTTGCTCCATCATCAATACTTTTAAAACTATTAAACAAAGTGTGCAAAAAAATGTACCACAATGTCTTTTTAAAGCTGCTGTGTCTTTTTTCTCCTCTGTGTTGTTAGCGTTGGTGACCAGGAGATTGATGTTTAGTTCTGGGAAAATAAATGACAATCCTGGAGGACGGAGAACTTGAACTGATCTGAGCATCACTTCTCAGATTCTGTAAAGGGAAAGGTGGTCAATGGGGTGTAACATAGGGAATTGTGAGGGTTTTCACTTTAGTCATAATAATAGAAAATCAGAATATTCTTTTCAAGATGTGAAGCTTGTTAATGTTGATGTTCACAGGGAGTTGGATGTACTCATACAAGGAATATTGAAAGTTCGTGTGCAGGTGGGCAATTAGAAAGTCTAATGACATGCTGGCATTTGTAACAAGAGGACTGGTATACAAGACAAAGGAATTCTGGTTACAAATTGTGTAAGACTACACTTGGAACACTGTGCATAGTTTTGGTCTCCATATTTAAGAAAGATCATGCTTGCATTGGGGGAAGTACTACGATCAATGGCTGAGTAATTTGGTTATATTTAAGCCTAAAGTAGATTAATTTCTTTGGTTTACCGAGGATTCAAGGGAACAAATGGGTAAATACCTGAAAAGCACGTAAGACAACGCTTTTCACTGTACTTCGGTACATGTGACAGTAATAAATCAAATCAAATCAATGGAATTGAAGCCCAACATTAGGAATGATCAAATTGGATGGTTTCAATGGGCTGAATCGCGTACTTCTGCTCCTAGGTCTTATGGTCTTATTGAAGGGCGGAACAGGCTTGAATGGACATTGGGCCTACTCTTGCTCCTATTTCTTGTGTTTTAAGGCAGCTGCAGCTGTACATACAGATTAATGAACACATGGATTTCGTTCAAGTGTTAGTAATGTTTGACACTACTTCCAGGGACAGATATTGCTGTGGCAGCTTTGATCGCCTTCAGCAACATGGATTCCATCCTGAATAGAAGTGTTTACAATCTTGGGACCACTGCTGGAAAACTAAAGCCATTCCAATTGATTTCAGATGTATTTTCAGCTATTATAATCAATAACCACGGCAATGGATTTGACCAGATGCTGAACTTCACTATCAAACACACCGAGGTTTGTAAAGAGCTGTGCCAGTTTGATGTACCATTTATGACTGATTGGATCCTAGCTTAGTCTCGCATTGATGTTCATACCGTAAAATACAAATGCCACTTTAGAGACTGATCAGGTATCCTGTCCAATAAAGCAATTTAGTGAAGAGATAGTAAGAACAGCCGATGCTGGAGTGTGAGGTAACACACTGTGGAGCTGGAGGAACACAGCAGGCTAGGCAGCATCAGAGGAGCAGGAAAGCTGACATTTCGGATCAGGATCCTTCTTCAGAAATGGCGGAGGGGAAGGGGGCTCTGAAATAAATAGAGAGGGGGGATCAAGCTGGGGAAGGTAGGTGGGATGGTGATAGGTGAGTGCAGGTGGGGATTGGTCAGTGAGGTGGGAGGAGCGGATAGGTGGGAGAGAAGACGGACAGGCCAAGGAGGCGGGGATGAGAGGGAAGGTTGATCGTGGGATGAGGCCGAGGGTGGAGAGATCTTGAAGCTAGTAAAGTCCACATTGAGACCATTGGGTTGTAGGCTCCCAAGGCGGAATACGAGGTGCTGCTCCTCCAGTTTCCGGGTGGCGTCGTTGTGACACTGGAGGAAGCCCAGGATGGACATGTCGTCTGGGGAGTGGGAGGGGGAGTTGAAGTGGTTCGCGACTGGAAGGTGTTATCATTTGTCGCGAACCGAGCGCAGGTGCTCCACAAAGCACTCTCCGAGCCTCCGCTTGGTCTCACCGATGGAGAGGAGGCCACACTGGGAACAGCGGATACAATAGACCACATTAGCAGATGTGCAAGTCAACATCTGTCTGATGTGGAAGGTTTTTTTGGAGCTTGGGATGGAGGTGAGGGGGGAGGTTTAGGGGCAGGTGTAGCACTTCCTGCGGTTGCAGGGAAAGGTGGCAGGGCTAGTGAGGACTGTGGAGCAATCAAGGGAGTCGCAGAGAGAGTGGTCCCTCCGCAAGGCAGATAAGGGTGGGGAGGGAAATATATCCTTCGGGGTCAGATTGCAGGTGGCGGAAGTGACAGAGAATGATGTGTTGAATCCAGAGGTTAATGGGGTGATACGTGAGGACAAAGGGGATTCTGTCTTTGTTTTTATTGCGGGGAGGGGGTATGAGGGCAGAGGTGCGGGAAAAGCAAGAGATGCGGTCGAGGGCGTTTTCGACCACTGAAGGGGAGAAGTTACGGTCCTTGAAATACGAGGACATCTGGGATGTTTGGGAGTGGAACGCCTCATCTTGGGAGCAGATACGGCAGAGGCAGAGGAATTGGGAGTAGGGGAGCGCATTCTTGCAGGAAGGTGGGTGAGAGGAGGTGTAGTCTAGGTAGCTGTGGGAGTCGGTGGGTTTGAAAGAGATATCAATTTCGAGGTGGTCACCAGAGATGGAGACAGAGAGGTGTAGAAGGAGAGAGTGGTATCAGAGATGGTCCAGGTGAACTTGAGGTTGAGGTGGAAGGTGTTTGTACAGTTGATGAACTGTTTGAGCTCCTTGTGGGAGCACAAGGCGGAACTGATACAATAATCGATGTAGCGGAGGAAGAGGTGGGGGAGAGTGCCAGTGTAGCTGCGGAAGAGGGGCTGTTCCACGTATCCTATGAAGAGGCAGGCATAGCTTGGGTCCATGCGGGTTTCCATGGCCACTCCCTTAGTCTGTAGGAAGTAGAAGGAGTTGAAGGAGAAGTTGTTAAAGGTAAGGACGAGTTCAGTTAAGTGGATAAGAGTGTCGATGGAGGGGGACTGGTTGGGCCTGTGGGAGAGGAAGAAGCGGAGGGCCTTTAGGCCATCTGCTTGGAGAATGCAAGTATACAGCGATTGGACGCCCATGGTGAAGATGAGGTGTTGGGGGCCAGGGAATTGGAAGTCTTGGAGGAGGTGGAGGGCGTGGGTCGTGTCCTGGACGTAGGTGGGGAGTTCCTGGACCGGGGGCAGAAATTAGAGTTAAGATAAGCGGAGATGCCTTCAGTGGGGCAGGAGCGGGCGGAGACAATGGGTTGGCCAGGGCAGTTGGGTTAGTGGATTTTAGGAAAGAGATAGAAGCGGGCAGTGTGGGGTTGGGGAACGATGAGGTTGGAGGCTGTGGGTGGGAGGTCACCTGAGGTGATGAGGTTATGGATAGTCTGGGAGATGATGTTTTGGTGGTCAGGGTGGGGTCATGATCAAGGGGGCGGTAGGAGGAGGTGTCAGAGAGTCGGCGCCTGGCCTCAGCGATGTAAAGGTCAGTGCACCATACCACAACTGCACCTCCCTTGTCCACGGGTTTTATAGTGAGCTTAGGGTTGGAGCAGAGGGCTGCACGTTCTGTGGGGGAGAGGTTGGAGTGAGTGAGATGGGTGGAGAGGTTGAGGCAATCGATGTTGCAATGGCAGTTGGAGATGAAGAGGTCGAGGGAGGGTAGGAGGCCTTGGGGTGGTGTCCAGGAAGATGGGGTGTGTTGGAGATGGGAGAAGGGGTCTGTAGAAGGGGGTTTAGACTCGTGGTTAAAGAAATAAGTGCGGAGGCAGCGGAAAAACTGTTCGATGTCCAAGCATGAGCGGTATTCAATTTAGTGAAATAGCGGAAAGATCGCTCGGATGAGAAAGTGACCAGTTTCTTAATGTGGCGATTTTATGTTACACCACATTACCTGGCACAGGGACTACATGGAGTCAGTTATGAGATATAACATCTGAAGAATGATGCAGCTAACGTAAAAATTTATTATCTATTTAACGAGCCTTGTACTAAAGTTTGGCAAAATAACAAGATTTTTAAAAAAAAAATCCTCCCCTACCTCCAGTTGAAACCACCTGTCCAGCCAAGTGAGCTAATCAGCCCCCAAACACACCCACGCACACATACAGACATCATAGAAATGTGCGCACCTGTACTTATGCACATTAGACAAACACACGTTCACACCATTCCTTTTGGCTCTGTGATGGGTTAATGTAATGCTGAACTGGAGTGGAGCATGGGGTGTTGCTCCTCTGTGGTTCAGGAGTTCCTGGCAATGTCTTTTTCACTGAATGTTATGCACATTGTCTATCTACCCAGTTACAGCTAGATCAGTAACAGCGGCTTGGTAAACTGTAATACTCGATCTCCACAGGAAACTAAAGTTAATTCGGAATTGCACTGTGCCAACTGGAATTATGCATCTGGGAAAAGCTATTGGTCTCCCAAAGGGTGCATTAGGGGAGTTTCCAATGGGACTCATACTCAGTGTCGATGCAGTCAGCTGTCCAGCCTTGCTCTGCTGTTGACCCATTTTGAATGGCAGGTATGTTTATATATTATGAATGTATATTCATCAATGTTTGTATGGGGTCATGACAGCTGAAAAACATGGGATCTGAAGCTTCGGCAGTTGTAGTGGAATGTCACAGGCTTATTGACAGTCTGACAGTCCACAACATGATTACAATATATTTTATGTGATGGTTGGAAGAGTATCCCAGGGAGTTCTACCCAGCAGATGAGGGAGTGGGGTTTAAATCCTACACTTTACTGACTCAGTGACATCTATGTTCCACTGAGCCAAATCAGACGTGATTTGTTATGGTCAAATGTTCTAATACAATGAATGTGCCTAATGTGTAAGATTTTATTGACACCTTAATCTATATCTGCACTGTTGCATTGTAATTTGTTCTGTTCAGAAACCTTGGTAAGGGAACAAGGCCCAAATGCAGGACAATATCAGGCAAATAAAGGATAGGGTGAGAACATTGGATCATAGGAACATGAAGAAACCATTTGGCCTTTCAAACTTCTTGCAGCATTTAATAAGAATAAGACTGATTAGTGATGAAACCTCATAAACCTTGTTTATGCATTATACGAGCGTATGAACAAGGAGCAGGAGTAGGTCATTCAGCCCCTCAAGCATGGCTGATATGATTTCAAGCTTAACTCCACATTCCCATCTACCCCTGAAAACCTTTCACCCCCTTCTTTACCAAGAATCTGTTTACGTTATAACATTCATGGACTCTGCTTCCACCACCCATTAAGGGAGGGATTCCAAAGACCTACAATTCTCCGTGAGAAAAATCTTGACCTCATCACTGTTTTAAATGGGCCACAATTATTTTTAAGCAGTGACCCCTGGTTCCGGATTCTTCCACAGAAAGAAGCATCCTCTCCACATCTACCCTGTCAAGACCCATCAGTATTGTATGTGTTAATCAAGAAGCCTGTCGCTTTTCTAAACTTCAGTGGATACAAGCATACTCTGTCCAAACTTTCTTGTAAAACACCTCACCCATTCCAGGTATAAGTCTAGTAAACCTTCTCTGTGCTACTTCCATACAACTATAGAATCCCAACACTGCTAACCACTCAGACACCATGCAACCCATAAAGAATCTGAAATGCTTCCAGAGCATTTACACCCTTCCTTAAAGAAGGAAACCAATACTGTGCACAGGACTCCAGATGTGGTCTCACCACTGTCCTGTATAACTGAAACATAACCTACCTAAGGTGGTGTGGGGGAGGGTTGTGTTTTGTGCGGTTGGTTGGTTTGCTGGTGTCCCTTGATCAAAGGTATTCAATGCCTGAACAATGGTCTGTGCATTGGGCAGGGCAGTGTCTGTTGAGAACCAGTCACATGCCCTAGCTTCTGGGCCCTTGTTTCGATGACCCCTACAAACTCAGAAACACACTACCCCATTATAAATCACATACCTTGCTCCTGCATCCTTCAGAATCTTTCAAACTCCAGAGGATCCTCTCCCACTGGCAGCCACAGCCTCCTCCTTGGCACTGCTGACTGTGAGTTAAAAGCCTGCACATTGTAAGGCAAAAGAGGGTCTGGGAGAGGTAGAGGGTCTGGGAGAGGTAGATCCCTGGAGGAAATGAACTTCAGGAGAATAGCTGTTAGTGATGCCCCCAGCAAGCGATGGTACCATTCTTCAAGATTTGAAGAAGATTAGACCAGTTCTGAGGAAGTGTCATCGGACCCGAAACGTTAACTCTGTTTTCTCCTCCACAGATGCTGCCAGACTTGCTGAGCTTTTCCAGCAACTTTGTTTTTGTTGTTGTTGTTGTTGGAGAAGATTAGTGTTTGTTTGCAATGCTAAAGGGAAATGTGTAGGCTTCATAGAAAATTGGAAATTCCTTGGATGTAGTTTTGGAGAAAACGCATCATCTATTTAAGATCAGAAAGCTGTCACTGTCCTATCACACTGCAGCTTCTAGTTCCCTGTAGTCAACTATCAACTAAACGTGGATGACTAGGTTGATAGATCAGGAGAAAGGGGACTAATGGGGTAGCATTTACAAGGAGCCAACAAAGGCTCTGTGGGTTCTTATCTGGTTCAGGGAAAGGCACAGCACAGAAAGAGGCCATTCAGCCCATTGTGGCTGCTTCAGCTGAATAAACTAGCCACCAATCTAATCCCACTTACCAGCACCTGGTTTGTCATCTCACAGTTTACATGACTTCATATGTAGATCCAGGTTCCTTTCAAGTGCTGAACCATGAAACTGAACATCAAATTCCAAACACCGACCTCCCTCTGGTTGAAAAGGGTTTTCCTTATGACCCCTCTTTCCTTCTACTGATCACTTTAAATCTGTGCTCCTTAGTTTGACCTCTCCACTAAGGAAAACAAGTCTTCCCTGTTCACTCTATCCAAGCTCCCATCATTTGGTACAATTTGCTTAAAGTGACACTTCAACCTCCTCTATTTGAAGGCTAACAACCCTAACCTATCCAGTCTTTCCTCATAGCTGCAATATTTCAAAAGCCTAGCAAGATTTTTTACAGCAATTATATCACTCCTGTAAAATTCCAACTCTGGGCTCGCCAATGTCTTTTATAGTTCCAGCATTATATCCCTGCTTGTGTGTTCAATACCTTCCCAATGAGACAAAGCATTCCATATACCTTCTTTACCATCTTATTTACCTGTTCTACCGCCTTCAGGGACCTGTGTACATTCACTCCAAGGTCTCTGATCTCCTCTGTCCTGCTCAATATCCACATTTTTATTGTGTGTGATACCATGATGAGTATGTTGATCAACTTTACATCATGTGCTTAAGTTTAGATTACAAACACAGCACTGTGTGGCATTAGTTTCCGAATGCTTAACCAATGGGATTTTGCATTGTTAATAAGAATCTCTCAGCACCAAAGTCTTTCAACGTGCTTTTTTTTCTTCCCATTATAGACAGAGCCTTTTGCCCTCACTGTGATTACATTTGTTGGAATCCCAATATCGCTCATGTGTCTTGCTGTTGCTTTTGGAATTTTTGCGTTTTGGAAGGATCTTAAGAGCACGTTAACTGCCACCCACATGCACCTGTGCCTGAATCTCTTCCTGGCCGAGCTGCTCTTTCTAGTCGGAATCAACCAAACCAAAAACCGGGTAAGGGAGCCCTCTACAGCCAGCAATGCAAGGCAAGCGGTTGCACTAATGCCACACAGTGCTGTGTTTGTAATTTAAACTTAAGCACATGATGTAAAGTTGTTCATGAGGAAAAAGGGAGATATAAACAGGGAGATGGCAGTGGTGGAAATCTTGCTCAATCCTGCTCATTTGTAAATTGAGGAGCCGTGTGTGTCACGTTGGTGTGCTTCCTCATCCAAGCTTCCGAGTCAGTCTCCGGGGGATGGTGTCTGACCAACATTCCACTCAATCCTGTGAATGGTGTAAGTCAACTGAGACAAGATTAAGGGTAAGTATTATGAGACACAGAGCAAAGATGCGTCAATGACTTTAGTGTAGAGGACTTCGCTGAAATAACTGAATAGCAGTAAGCAAAGAAAATGTTGGAAAAGCTCAGTAGGTCTGGCAGCATCTGTGGAGAAAGAAGCAGAGTTAATGTTTCAAACCTGATACAACTCTTTGTTCTGAAGAGCAGTCATTTTAGACTCAAAATGTTACTCTGGTTCTCTGTCCACAGATTCTGCCAGACCTGCTGAGTTTCTCCAGCATTTCCTGATGCTATTTCAGATTTCCAGCATCTATAGTATTTTGTTTCTAATTGAATGGCAGAACTGGCTCAAGGGCCAAATGGTCACTTTCCATACTTATGTGCAAATATTTCTGTTGAACTTGTATTATGTCTTTGGGTAGATAACAATATGGTGTCTCTGAAAGACTCTCACAGTATTTTTCATTCTTACAGGTTGTGTGTGGGATTATAGCAGGATTTTTACACTATTTGTTCCTGGCCGCGTTTGTTTGGATGTTTCTGGAGGGTGTCCAGCTCTATGTCATGGTCAGAAACATCAGAAAATTGAGGATCACCCATTTGGAAAAAAATGGGAAGTTCATGTATCCTCTTGGCTACGGGGTTCCTGCAGTAATTGTGGCTGTTTCTGCTGCAGTGTATTGCGATGGCTATGGGTCACCCAGGCAGTAAGTAGTGGCTCCTGCTTTTCCAAATATACAATACAAATTGACAACTTACTAACAATTAATTTGCTAACTATATTCCTTGACAGGAAAAAGCTTGTTAATTTTTCTATGACCTTGGGCTTTGGAACTTTTCATCTCAGATTTATACATATTTAAGTCTGACCCCAAAGACTTGAAGACAAAGCTGAATCTGAGATTCCCAGTGCACCAATGAGTGAGTGCTGCAGTGGCAGTGGTCAATAACAGCTTGCATTTTGGTGGCGTACTTATGTGCTATATTGTTCCAAAGTGCCTCACAAGATTGTTAACAAAAACATTTTGGACCCCATCAATGAAAGAAGATATCAAGACAAGTGAATGAATTTTTGGTCAATGAAACATTGAGTTGAAACCCCATCTTTCAGAGGCAGAGGGTCATGGGTTCAAACCTCACAGAAGAGGGTATGCACAAAAACTATCTTAATACTGCAGTGAAGGAGTGCTGCACTGTCACAGATCTTGCCTTTCAGCTGCGACACTAAAGCCAGATCCTATCCACCTTCTGAGGTAGATGTAATAGATCATAGGCACTATGAAGATGAGCCAGGGAGTTCTCCCCACCCTCAATCAGCATCATGAGAAAACAACTGATAAAACTGTTGTGGGAATTTGCTGACTGCAAATTAGTGCCCCATTTCCTCTACTAGAACGATGGCTATACTTCAAAACACATTGACACACTACTTTTGATTCCCCGAGGCAGTGAAAAATGTTATATAAAAGCAAGTCTTTCTTTCTATTCTGAAGCACAATTTAACTCCAGCAATTCAAGAAATATCTGATGACCTTGTGAACTCTACCAGGAAAGCATCTGGTTGTTGCTTTCCTTGCCTTGGTAAACCTCCAAAATGAACATTTTTCAATGATAGGGTTCAGTTACAAATGTTGCCCATTTTGTCTGAGGTCAGTTTCTCAGATGATGCATTTACATAGAAGCTGAAGCTTTTGGCTGAATTTTTCCCTTCCTCAAGTAGGCACTTTTGCTGATGCCAAAGAAGAGAGCCAACCTAATGTAAACAGGGATACAACACTGTGGAAGGGTCTATGTTTGACTGGGATTACAGTTTGCACCAACTGCCTGCTTTAAAAGTGCAAGAGACAAAATTATAGGAGGTGCAGCTTCATGCTAAATTGTAATTATGTGGCAGAGTTGACAGTGTACATTTCTTTACCCTTGTTCTGTAGCCTTGAGATTTAATGATTTCTTCCTCTATTGCACACCCCACTTCTCTTGGTTCTGACGTCCTGTAGAATATGAAGCCTCTTCACCCAAATAGCATACTTCACTCCTGAAACTACAGCAAGTGGCAAAGGGCTATTTGTCCAGGTCAGGCGTAACAGTTGATCTCGGTTGTCTGTTGTTACCTGATTTCTATACTCTCACAGTAGTCACTGGTTAGCTATCAGCAGCACTGGCAAACATAATGGGTTGAATAGCCTCCTTCTGCATTCGAACACTTGTGTGATCTGGTCTCTCTCTCCTCTGGATGGTGGGGGGTAAGGTTTGGGGTGCAGTTGTTGAGTTCTGTTGTCGTGTCTCCCGCCACTCCTTTTGTTAAATCAGTACAGAACGCAGCACTTTGTATCAAAAAAGCAGTAGACAAACAAGACATTCAGCCCGATCAGTCTCCTGCTAGTGTTTATGCTGCATATGAGCCGAGTTCACTGGCTTGTTGGTTATACCTGACCTTGGGTCACAATATTTAATTTGCCAAAGATTTAATGTATCATAATTTTTAATGATAAATCTTCTGTTGTTAAACTCCAGCTGCTGGCTACAAACACATAGAAGATTCATTTGGAGCTTCCTAGGGCCTGTTTGTGCAATAATTGGGGTAAGTGTCTACATTATCCATGTTTAGATTATATCAATGTGGTCATTCATTGATGTGATTATGTTTCAGATATGCAGTAAAGTCCACCTTTGAGGTCCTTGTTTCAGTCTCTCTGCTGCTATCACCTTCACTCATGCCTCTGTTGCCTCTGAACTTAGATATTCTTTCTTGCATGTCCTCACATCTTTCACTGTCTGCAAACTTGAGCTCTTTCAATACTCTGCTGCCTGCACCTGAATCAAGTCCAGTCACCCATTGTACTCACTGACCCACTGGGCTCATGGACTGGCAAGACTCAATTTTAAGGTTTTTATTTTTTTCAAATATTTGCATGGACTTCCGAATTCTTTCCCCTCCTCAAACTGTCCAAACCACTGCATCTCTCCAGACCTGACCGCTTGGTAATCCCAATTTGAATTTTTATAGCTGCTGAGCCTCAAAACTCTGGAACTCCCTCCCTAAACTCTTATTTTACCTCTTTCTTCACCCTTAAGACACTCCTTAAAATCCAACTCTTTGACCAAGCCCATGTGTTCAGTGTCAAGATTTTCTTTGATAATGTACATTTGAGGCATACAAAATGGAAAATGCATAGTTGTTGCTCTTTAACAGCTGTTGTGTTAATCTTACGTGAGACAAAGTTCGCCTCAGATGTAATATTGTATGGCTAAATAATCTATCATAGATGCTTCAGTGATGTAACAGCAGATATAATAGGGTCTTGGCTGGCTGATAAAGTAAAGCATTGGAGCCTATTTTGAGCCAAAAGCCAAAAATCGGACATGCTTTGTCCTGCCTCCAGATTGGATGATGTAATCCAGAAGACACAGAACAATTGCCAATCTTGAGATGCAGAGGCATGAAGAGATTGTAAAGTGAGGGAAGGATTGAGGGAATGAAACGGCATTGAGGTCTGTAGAGGACCATGAGTTGGATTAATAGATGATTTGACATCTGCAAACCTGAGATGTCCCATTCACAGCTGGGGCCAGGCTTCAGATAAATGCTTCCCAAATCTTTTCTGACTGTAAGCCCATTTTGAATCTCTAAAATTATTACAACCCCAGGACGAACCTGTCAGAGCGAGTGTATAGCTGAAACAGCTCAGCCAGAGTTCAGTGGCAGCCATTGCTGCTTTGGAGATCGTCACCCAAAATTTCAGCTCGCTTGGGGTCCTGACTCCCAACTTTGGGAAGCCCTGCCAGTATGGGCTGGAGAATCTATGTTGCCGCACTGTAACTCTCTCTCTCTCTATCTCTCTCTCCGCCCGTCTCAAAACCACAATCTCTGTTTGACTGTGTTGCCTCTTAGGGAGTGAGGGTTCTTTCAGTTTATTGAATTTCTCTTCTTTTTCAAATCTTTCAACAGATCAACACATTCCTTTTTCTCTTAACTCTTTGGTCTTTGAAAAAATCAGTTTCTGAGCGTGACGTTACAGTGTCAAAACTTCAAAACACAAGGTGAGTTTAACCTCTGAGGGAGTTTCGTAGGATAATGTCCAAGGCCCAACCATCTTTAGCTACTTCATCAATGATCTTCTCTCTATCATAAGGTTAGAAGTGGATATGTTTGCTAATGATTGTGCAATGTTCAGCACCATTCGTGATTCCTCAGATGCTGAAGCTGTCCATGTTCAAATGCAATAAGATCTTGCCAATATCCAGATTGGGGTGACAAGTGGCAAGTAACATTCTTGCTACACAAATGCCAGCCAATGATCATCTCCAATAAGAGACAATCTAACGACCATTCCTTGACATTCAATAGAGTTATCATAGCTGGATTTGTAACATAAACTCAGTGACTACAAGAGTGGGTCAGATGTTAGGAATACTGTGGTGAGCAACTCACCTCCTGACTCCCCAGAGGTTGTCTACCGTCTACAAGGCACAAGTCAGGAGTGTGATAGAATACTCTGCACTTGCCTGGATTGGTGTAGCTCCCACAACAGTCAAGAAGCTTGACACCTTCCAGAACAAAGCAGCTTGCTTGACTGCTGCCATATCCACAAGCATTCTCGCTTTTCACCACTGATGCTCAGTGGCAGCAGTGTGTACTGTCCACAAGAATCACTGTGTAAATTTGTGAAAGATTCTTGTACAGCATGTTCCAAACCCCTGGCCACTTCAATCGAGAAGGACAAGGGCAGCAGATCCATGGGAGCACCTGCAACACCTGCACACCACCTGCAAGTTCCTTCTAAGCTACTCACCATTCTGACTTGGAAATATAACATAATTCCTTCACTGTCATTGGATCAAAATGCTGGAATTCTTTTTCTAAGGACATTGTGTGTCAACCTATAACACATGGACTGGAGTAGTTTAAGAAGACAGTTCACCACCACATTCTCAAGGGCAAATCGGAACAGGCAATAAATGCTCAGCGATGCCACGTCTCATGAGTGTGAAAAAAGATCAAGATACCCAGACTGATTCATTCAGGATTTTGCTGCCTCACCTCTTCTGTTTAAGGGATTGTTTTCCTGGCCAATGTGCAGTTCTGTGGTGCTCAGCACTTGGTACCTCATTTAAATGACCTTTTTTAATGGGCAGGTCTCGACTGTGAGTGTCTTTTTGACTGTGAGAAGCATCAGACAGGGATAATTGGCTGGGCAAAGGGAACCCTCACTGATTTCCTTTTCCGTAATGAAAGATGTTGAGATGAACGCCAGATCCAGCAGAGGGAGACAGAGAAAGTGAGTACCATGACTGATATCAAAGATAGTAGGAACTGCAGATGCTGGAGAATCTGAGATAACAAGGTGTAGAGCTGGATGAACACAGCAGGCCAAGCAGCATCAGAGGAAATTTTTCTGAAGAAGGGTCTAGGCCCGAAACGTCAGCCTTCCTGGTCCTCCGATGCTGCTTGGCCTGCTGTGTTCATCCAGCTCTACACTTTGTTACCGTGACTGATATAACATGTTTGGATTTACTCAGCACTTTTAGTGTTGTGCAACATCCCAAGAGGCTTCACAGAACTGTTAGCTGACAAAATATGACACCTAAGCCGCTTACAATGATATTCGAGCGGAAGAACAAAAGCTTTAAAAGATGGGAGAAATTAGAGAGGTGGGGACAGTCATGGAAGAAATTCCAGAGCTTGGGGTGAGGCAACTGAAGGATCAATGGTGAAGCGATTAAAATCAAGAACGTGTTAAAGACTAGAATTGGAGGACCACAGAGATCTCAGAGAATTTCAGGGCTTATTGGAGGTTACAAAGAAGGAGAAGGGATGAGGCTATGTCGGGATTTGAGAAGACTGAATATTTCAAAATCGAGGCATTGTTTAACTGGGAGCAAGCAAGCACAGGAGTGAAGAGAACAAGGTGCAAGTTGGGCAGATGACCTCCAGCAATTTGAATCACTGTACTATTCTTACAGCTGATTCGATTGATATAAACTACGTGTTTTGAGCCCATAAACTGTGAAATTTTATATTTGCTGATTGATTGATTGATTTATTGTCACATGTACTGAAGTACAGTGAAACGTTTTGTTTATGAGCAGTACAGGCAGGTCATAGTAAACAAGGATCTACAGATCAGGGGTTGTAAAAAGACTTAGACAGAGGCATACAGGTTGCATTGCACAGGGCGTGTGCTAGGCGATATCAACATTTAGCAAGATCAGTGTTATTTGACGCTAGACACTCCATTCATCAATCCAATAATGGCCAGGAAGAAGCTGTTCCTAAACCTGCTGGTGTGTGTGTTCAGGTTTCTGTATATTCTGCCTCATGGATGAGGTTGTAGGAGATCATTACCGAGGTTCTATTGGGTCTTTGATGATGTTGGCAACCTTTCCGCGGTAGCAAGCTGTGTAAATGGGAGTCCATGGATGGAAGGTTGGCTTCCATGATGGTCTGGGCTGTGCACACCACCTTCTGTAGTTTCTTACGGACTTGGGCACAGCAGTTGCCATACCAGGCTGTTGTGCACCAGGACAGCATGCTTTCAGTGATGCATCTGGAGAAGTTGGTGGGGGTCCTTATGGACATGCCAAATTTCCTAGGCCGCATGAGGAAGAAGAGCATTTGTTGTGCCTTCTTGACAATCGCAACTATGTGGGAGGTCCAGGATAGGTTGTCGGTTGTCATCACTTTGAGGAACTTGACGCTGTCCACCTTCTCAAACTCAGTTCCATTGATGTGATGGGGGCATGTTCTCCTCCTTTCTTTATGAAGTCAATGATCATTGTTTAGTTTTGCCAATGTTGAGAGAGAGGTTCTTCTCATTGCACCACATTACCAAACCCTCTATTTCCCTTCTGTGTTTTGATTCATTGTTGTTAGATTATCTGCCCTACTGATGTGGTGTCGTCAGCAAATCTGTAGAAGGCGCTCGTTTGGAATTTGGCAACACAGTCATCGGTGTACAGGGAGTACAGTAGGGGGCTGATGATGCATCCTTTGGGTTGGGTTCCAGTGTTGAGTGTTATTATGGAGGAGGTGCAGTTACCTATCTTCATTGATTACAGTCTGTGGGTCAGAAAGCTGAGGATCCAGTTGCAAAGGGCGGAGCCAAAACCAAGGTCATGGAGTTTTAAGATCAGTCTGGAGGGATAATGGTGTTGAAGGCAGACTTGTAGTCAATGAGCAGGAGTCTGACGTAGGTGTCCTTGTTGTCCAGATGTTCCAGGGATGAGTGCAGGGTTTAGGTGCAGGCATCCACTGTGGACCTGTTATGTCAGTAGGCAAATTGTAGGGATTGAGGCAGGCTGGGGGACTGGAGCTGATGTGGGCCATGACCAGCGTCATGAGGCACTTCATGATTATTGATGTCAGAGCCACTGGGTGATAGTCATTAAGGCACATTGCCTGTGCTTTTTTAGGTACGGGGATGATGGTGACTCATAGGGGGATTCACTTAGCTCAGTTGCCTAGCATGTGTGTATCAGAATAACACCAACACTGTGTTTTCAGTTCCCAATCCAGCTGCACTAGATGTGGGAACCACTCTGGAGAGTGGAAGACAATGACATCTCACCACTGATTTTAAAAACTCTTGTTAAAAGGGCTCAGAATGAAGTGTCAGAAGACAGCAAGCCAAGAAGCTGCCTTTGGAGAGAAGCACAGAACAGATGAATTAATGAAGTAACTGATCAGGGAAATCTTGGCACAGATAACTGAATAGAACCTCCAGTTGCATCCAGTTTAAATAAAAAGTGTCAGTTTTTACTCCCTTCATTAGCATAATAGTAAGTTTAATTAAAGTCGCAGACTTGGCTCGTATCATGTAACCAGATATCACGTGGCCAGATGTTAGGTGACTGAAATTCCAGGAACCTACTCAATGAGCATTGACAACTCTACCCTCCAGGCTGAGGACACACAGAACTGAACTCTAAGCACAATCAATGGTCCAAAGAGTCTCTTTTTGTGCCATGTGTCTCTGTTGACTCTTGGAGGGCGAATCTGGGGCATCATGAGTAATTACAGTAGTGGCATGTACAACATAACATAACATTGTGCACACATTGATGAATGTGGAGTACGTCTTGTAATTTCCTATCTAATCCATCTCTCTTTTCTGCAGGATGTTAGCATTTAAAGCCATCACGCAGGTGTTTCTCCTGGGCTGTAGCTGGATTCTTGGCTTGTTCCACTTTCGTGAAGAAACCCTGGTAATGGCCTATTTATTCACCATCGTCAACAGTTTCCAGGGCACCTTCATCTTCATCATCCTCTGTGTGTTAAATCTCAAGGTAGGTGTTATAATATTACATAGATTATAGCACAGGAATGTGTCATTCTAAACAGCAGATCCATCCCACTGTTTATGTTCCATATGAGTCTCCTTTTTATCCCTCTGGACAATATAATTTCCGATTCCTTTCTCCATTAAGTGTTTATCCAGGGTCCCCTTAAATGTGTCTGTGCTGTTCACCTCAACTGCTCTTGATGCTCACGAGTTCCACATTCTCATCACTCTCCAAGTTAACAATTTTGTCCTGAAGTCCTAAATGGATTTATTTTATGACTGACTTATAATTATAGCCTCTAGTTCTGTCAGGTCGCCATTCAGCTTTCTCCTTTCTCAGGAGAAAGGCCCATTTCCTGATGCCATTCCCAGTTACAGGGATCTTGCACAATGTTCCTTCTTTCTCAAGTCTCAGTCGGTAATAAATGTATGGCAAAGGTTATTTCTGTTCCATACAAATATCACCAACGGTTCCTAAAACATTCTCTCATAAATTTGCACAGAGGAAATTTTCAGTAACGCAGAGATGGTAGAATTCAACACAGAAAGTATCATTTGAAATCCTGTAATTAGATAACTGTGGCTATAGTTAGGAGCAGGCATAGGCCATTCAGCCCTTCAGGCTTGCTTCAAGCCATTTAATGATATCTGATCTGATTATGGTCTGTATTCCACTTTCTGTCTGTCCCCATAACCCAGAACATCCTTGTTTATCAAAAATTAATCTGACTTGGCCTCAAATGTATTAAATGACCCAACCTCTACTGTTTTCTGGGGAAGAGAATTCCACAGATTAACAACCCTCCAAGAAAAAGCGTTTCTCCTCATCTCCGTCTTAACAGTGAGTCCTCTTATTCTTAAATAGTTTCCCCTAGTTCTACTCGCTCCTTCCCGATGGGGAAAAATCATGTCAGAATCCACCCTTGTTGAGTCTCCTCAGGATTTACGTGTCAATAAGATCATCTCTCAATTCTTCTAAACATCCAACTTAACCAACATCTCTTCAGAAAATAAGCCCTTCATCCAAGAAAAGAGCCAAGTGAATCTTCTCAGAACTCTTTCTCACCTGATTACTTTTCAAATAGGGAGATCAAAACCATACTCAGTACTCTAGACGTATTCTGACCAAGGCCCTCGTCAACTGCAGTACTATTTCTCTACTTTCGTATTCCATTCCCTTAACAATAAACAACAGCATTCCATTTATCTTCCTAATCATATGCTGTTCTTACATGCTAACCTTTTTATGATTAATATAGCAAGACACCCAGATACTTCTATACCTCTGAGTTCTGCAATCTCACTTCACTTAAATAATAAGCTCCCTTTCAATTCTTTCTGCCAAAATAGACAAGTTCACATTCTTCCTAATTATGCTCCATTTGCCAAAATTTTGCCAACTCACTTGACCTATCGAATATCCCTTTGCAAACTCTCTACCTTGTCGCGACAACCTAATTTCCTATCTACCTTGGCATCATTAGCAAATTTAGCTCCCATACATTCTATCCTCATGTCCAATTCATTGACGTAGATTGTAATACTTGACACCCTACCTTTGAGGCCTGTGGCATCCAATCTTGACAGCTAAAAGAAAATGGCCAATTACCTCTCTGTCTGTTTCCTACAAGAGAGTGAGCCCTTTGTCTGTGATAATATGTTACCATTCACACCAAAAACTCTTGTGTTATAACCTTTACAGTGGCATCTTATCAAATATATTTTGGGAATCCATGTACAAATCCTCAAAAAATTCCAATAAATTAGTTTATATAAAACATGATTTCACTTTCAAAATACCGTGTTGATTCTGCCTGATCAAATTATGACTTTCTACATATCCTGTTATAACCTCCTTTAAAATAGAATCTAGTGTGTAAATCAAAATGATCACATTGAGTTTACAAGTCCAGGGATTACTAGCTGTGTATCGTATTTCTTCCTGTAAGGTGAGGGTGCAGTGCCAGAAATGGTTTTCCATGCTATTCAAAATGAAGAGAATCATGTCGCCCAAGAATATAGCCACAATCATGCCAAAGAATACCAGGGTGGTAAGTGGGTTTTACTTGACCTCTATTCATATTCTACTCATAGCAAATTGGTTGATGCACACTATTGTGTAGTTGGCTAAGTCGGATGCTTCAACGTCAGATTATTCAACTGATATTCCAACTTGGTATAAACTTCCAGAAAAGAATGGGTAGAAATTCAACAAAAATGCATCATGAAATTTAGTGCTGGCATAGAGTTTGCTGTCTATATGGCTTGCTTAAAATTGCTGTATTGAAGCTAGGGAGATAATGGCTAGGAGAATGGGTGGAAGATTTGATGCTGTCATTATTCAAGGATGAATGGTCTCTATCTAGACTGTGGGGATTCTATGATTCTAACTGATCTCCATCTCCCATTGGCACTGATGTGTCACTTTGGTATCAACCACCAGAGAGGCTATCACAACTGAGCCTGATCCTGTTCTCATGTATTGCCAGCAAGTCTTGCTGGATGGCATGGAGCTCTGAGTAGTAATTCCCTTTGCTAACCCAGAAGGCCATTTGTCATTCAGTTTGCTTCAAAATGACTACAATCAAAGCTGAGGTCGTTCTAGTCATCGTGCTGAAATGAACTCACCTTAACTATCAGAGGAGCCTGCACCATTGCATTTTGGACAGAAAGTAACTCATTGTATGCAATCATAAAATTTTATTTTTCATTTTGTTGCAGAGCTCAGGGTTATGAAGAACCTACTCTTGTCTCACCCACTGTGTGAGATAGACCTGACGGAAGAAGAAGTGAAGACCATCATTCATTTGCTTTGCTGCAGTGATGTGGATAGACTTTTCATTGCTACTTGAATTGACTGGTATTTGTACCTTGGAGCATATGCATTACAGACAAGAATCTCATTTCTCACAACAGATGCATGGAAATGCCACCTTCTGGAAGACCCCGCCCCAAATTTAGTGCTGTCATAACTAGTGATTAGGTTTTGGCCATTCGTTGGTTGTCACTGGCTCAAAACTTTAAATTCCCATGGGCTAACAGCATGTGGGAAAACCTGCAGTGGTTCAAGTAGGTGGCCTGTTACTTGTTTTTGATGGTAATTTGGGATAGACAATAATTGCCAAGAGCAACCACAACTCATTAACAAATTTGAAACGTTACACATTACTGTACACATCCTAAACTGTGATACACGCTAGGTGGAGGTATTTGAAGTTTGACAACAAAACAGACTGTTGCAAGAATGAACCCTTCTCTTGAACCTGGCTTAGAGTATGGCTCAGTTTGTGAACTCGTTAACCTCTGAGTGAGAAGACTGTTACGTTTAGCCTGATTCCTATACCCGACCACATTACAGTATCCCTGCATCTGTTAAGCTAAAGACTGTGCCTCTTTGTTCAGGTGAACATCAAGGCACTATCGGAGGAAGATGTAGCATCTGTGGAGAAACAGATTTATGGGACCTTGTACAGAAATTATTAGAAACTAAAAATAAATCCAAAAGGCTAATGAAATGTTTTTGTTTACATCAAGAGAGCTGGAATACAAAAGAATGAGGTTAATCTGCCTATCTGTCTTTACTTATTTCCAGGACCTCCATTGGTTTGGCTCATGTGTATGGGCAAAGTGCTGCAGTGGTTTGCCATTGTCTTCTGCAGGATGGTAGACCAGGAGGCTTTCTCACTCTTACCACTGATTAGAAGACTATTGGAATGATTCACTGCCTTATAACCTATTTAGCCACAATATGGATGTGATAGCATTAGGCATATGGCTAGCAAATTCTGGCATGGGACTCGAGCATAATGGACCCTTGAGATTCAGTGTAGTTTTATACCTCTCTGGTTAGGCACCATTTGGAGAACCACATTCAGTTCAGAGCACTACACTTGAGTGAAGACATCCTGACATCAGAGGAATAGATTTCAGATTCCCTAGAAGGATACTGGAGTTTAAATGGATTTCATGGACAAGATCAGGAGAATCAATTTCTCCTCATGTGGAGAATCCAGAACAAGGGGACACAATCATAATGTTTGAGTTTGGTTGTTTTGGTGAGATACTAGGAAACAGTTCTTCACACAAAGGGAAGTGGCAAACTGGAACTCTTCCTCACCCACAAAATACTGGAGGATGAGGATCAATTGAAATGTTTAAGAACTGATAATGATGGACTTTTGTTAGGAAAGGGTATTAAAAGATGCAAATCAAAGAGAGCAATTGAAATTAACATAGAGCTCAGCCTCAAAGTAGCAGACTGGCAGTACAGACTTGAGCGGTTGGATGACTCATTCCTGTTCCAGTGAATTCTTTTGGTGTCATGGCCATCCATCTCTATTTGCCATTAATACTAAAACAGGCCATTCATCTCATTTCCTGTTTGTGGGATTTTGCTATGTGCAGTGGGATGTTTGCTTTGCAAATGTCTAAAGCAGCAACCATACCCATCGTGAAGTGCTTTGGACTTCGCGAGAACGTGCTATGTGAATGCAAGATTTTTTTCTCCCTACTTGCTTTCTGGGAGGTCTTGCTATGCCTTTTGGCAGCTGTCACATTAGCCTGCAGAATAATAGTTACCAGACTCTGAAAATAATTCATTGTTCAAGAAGTCTTGAATTGTGATGAGTTTTTGTGTAAAAAGAAGTGTTTTATTCATCCAGCTAATAACCAATGCATTTACAATGCATTAGAAGTTGCTAGAATATTCTCTAACACCAGCTGAGACATGATTACATTTAGATTTGCTTTATCAACCCCACTGGAGACTCAACTTTCTTTGTATGCCTTAATATTGACATATACAGTGTTGTAGAAATTTTTATTTCTACTAATATTGAGACTTGACTCCAGCTCTCGTTCGAAGCAGTTTTATTTTCTTACTTGGTACCAAGGAAAGTGAGTGTCGATCTCCACCGACACCCGACTCTGCTAACACAGTGTACAACAATCTCATTTATACAATTAACTTCAGAGCAGTATGTTCCCGTGACATCTTGTGTTTGTTGATTCACTCATTGTAAGTTTAAAGAAAACAGACACTGCTCGAGATAACAGGAATGCTGTTTCACAGATACCTCAATAATTACTTTTTCAAATGACCTTCGGCATGCAGCTAGCATGGGGAGTGATAAACGGTTTGATTGAACTCTAGCTTATCAGTAACTAGGCCCCACGGGGATACAAGGGACATCTCTAATTCATCCTAAAACCTTGGTATAGTGACAATATATCAAGAGATCCTTCTCTAGCTCTAGCTAAGAAAACATGCACATAGTGATAACATAGTCTGAGTAACTACCTCCCGACTTCTGCTAAAGCTCATTAAAATCCCACATGCTAAACTAATTAAAATTCTTTCTCTATGCCATCAGTTTCTCCCATGTCTGCCTTTTCTGTCTTGGGCTAAATTCCCATCCACCCTTGCGATGTAATTTCTGTCTTGGCCTAAATTCCCATCTACCCTTGCGAAGTAAAATTTTTCTTCCACATACAGGCATGTGGGCCAGTGCAGCTAGCATCAATGGTGAAATCCATTTCCACAGGCTGAGTGATGAGGAAGGGAGGATTCTGGTGGCTGAAACTCATTCAACTGGTGATAAACTGATGAAGTGGCCTTTGTAATTGTAGTGTTGGGCAACAGTGTAAATGTAACTTGAATAAACCTCCACATCCTCAGTATACAGACCTTTATCAGTAATGTGACCCTTGCAATTAGCCTTGCAGTCACTGTGATATCTGCTTAATGGAAGAGGCACGACTGAATGCTGACTGGATACATGCCAGTCTTTTGGCCTGGGAGATCAATTATTGGATCAGTAATTCCACTGCCATTCATCTGAGTCCTTGGAGTTGCACAGGGTAGTGTATATGTCCATTTTCTACCACTTCATCAATGACCTTCCCTGTGCTGTGGAGTAGATAATTTTTGAATCAGTCTATTCAGAGATGTTACTACATAGCCCTGGAGTACATTGGACTTGAAACCAGGCCTGTCGCCTTAGATGTAAGGACATTACCACTGCCGACTGTGTCAGTATTCCAAGGGAGTTTCCCACCTAAGTACTAACCAGGCTTGAGTCTGCTTAGCTTCCGAGATCAGATGAGATTGGGCATTCTCTGTCTAGTGTGTGATGGTATATCTCTGGAGCAGGTGCGACTTAAACCCAGTCCCTATGGCTCACACCTGGGGACGCTACCAATGCACCACAAGAACCTGATTCTGTTGTGGAATACCTAAAGACACCCAGTGTGAGTCAGCTGTGAAGTGAGTCAGGTGGCAGTTTACGACTGTGATGTCAGGAATGTGCTGATAATCAAGTCCCACAACTCCATCAAACATACCATTCGTATAAATGTGTTAATGTAATCACCAATATGGCCAATTGATTCCCTTGTACTCCATTATTTAGAGAAGAAAACACTTTCACCAGCCTTCTTGAATGAACTCAAGAATAATCCATTTATTACAAACAAAACTTAATCCTAAAGCCATTGTAAAACTAGTTAACAACTACATACATTATAAACTGTAATCAGAACTCTATCTCTGTCATCCCTGACAAAAACACATTCACACGACTGAAAGTGACCACAAACTCTGCAGTGATGGTATTAACAAAGACACACAAAGAGAAAGAGCAGTCTTGTTGATCAGTGGTCACTGATACAAAGGATAATGTTTGATGAGCCTTTTCAGAAACCATGATTGTTTTGGATGGAACAAAATCTGTGACAGCAGCGAACCGATGGCAAATTCTTCATAACAGGCTTTAGTTTGGATGGAAATCCAATTAGAGATGAGTTTTTGAGTAAAAGTTACTGCTGATCCTTTTTATTAGGGTTGGGAAAAGTAGGCCAAATATTGAATAGTGGAACTTTATAAAGAAAGGATTCCGAAATTCATGCAGGAGTGAGTGAGTGATGGAGCTTTGCCATTTGCATATAGCTGCTGTACCTTTTTCCCAAGTGCCTGGAATGTTGTTACTCTATCTCTGCCCTTCCCCTGGTGTTCGACACAGAAACACGGTGCAGCAAGGTTTGCTCAGCCACAGCCTCCTCTAAATAGTGCACTGTCTCCTGGTGTTTTCCACACAGTCAACAAATATAAATGTGTATTCCCGTCAATACAGGCATACTAGTGGGGGAGAAACACTCAGATCATTCTGAGAAGTATTTCAACAATTCAAAGGATTTCGACTACATTTTTACTATTTCTTGTGACATTGCTTGTAAGGTTTCTTCATAAACTACAATTATATAATGAATCACATGCCTATGTTTATACTCTGTGTTCTTTTCACTGCCTGTATAAAAAACATGTTGTTGTGTCACTCACCATTTTGACTCGGGAGTATATCACCATTCATTCTCTGTTGCTGGGTCAAATTTCTGAAAGTTACCCAACAACACTCTGGGTATCCTTACCCTACAGACTGCAGCAATTCATGAAGGCACTTCACCCCAATCTTCTCCAGGGCAAATAGGAATGGGCAATAAATGCTAGACTAGCCAGTGATGCCCATATCCTACGAATGAATATCTATAAAATACTTTCTCATGTACCCTCATCTCCTATGCTATGATCCCCTCAAATTCCTGTTTCTTTCTTTGGTCTTTCTTTCCTGTCATGAAACTGTGATTTCATATTAAAAGTTATAAATGTCACAAAAATATTTTAGTTTTATTACTGTGAAACTATCCTGCCTTTGGTCATTGTTCTTGCTTTTGTAGCTGCGCTACTGACCTATGTCCTGATGAGCATGGTTTGCATGCAATTTCAGCAAAACTATTTTGTCGTATGCTCGATAGAAATTTGACTTTAACTTTCATCATAAGGGCACAAGCCAGGTGTTTGCTGGATACTGAAGCTGTCTATGCCTACATTCGGAAGGGTCTGGGCAATGTTCCAGCTTCTACAAGGCACACATTAGGAGTGTGATGGAATACTCACCACTTGCCTGGATGAGTGCAGCTCCAACAATGCACAAAACACTGAACATCATCCAGAAAACACGTAGATCATTTGTTTCCCCATATACCACCTTCTTCCACCTCCAATGCACAGTGGCAGCAGTCTGCACCATCTACAATGTGCGTTCCTCAAACAGCACCTTTCAAATCCGTGACCTCTACTACCTAGAACAGAGGGGCAGCGGATATAAAAGAACATTACCATCTGCATGTTCCAACATTAGCCACACCCCACCCTGAGTTGGAACGATAGGAATTTAATCCTAATAAATGTGAGGTGATGCATTTTTGGAGGTCTAATAAGGGAAGGACATCACCAGTGAATGGTAGAACCCTAGGGAATACTGAGGAACAAAGGGAACTTGGTGTACAAGTCCATCGATCCCTGAAAGTATCAGCACAGGCAGACAGGCTGGTGAAGAAGGCATAGAGGATGCTTACCTTCATTAGCAGGGGCATAGAATATTTCAGCAAGGAAATCTTGTTACAATTTCATAAAACATAGTTAGGCACAGATGGCACCCTGCGGGCAGTTCTGGTCACTATACTATGAGGAGATTGTGAATGTAACGAAGAAGTTGCAGAGGAAATTCACCAGGATGTTGCCTGGGATGTAAAGTGTCAGTTATGAGGAGACACTCGATAGGCTGGATTCATTTTTCTTGGAGCAGAGAAGGCTGAAGGGGATCTGATTGAGCCATGCAGAATTATGAGAGATATAGATAGAATAGATTTTAAGAATCTCTTCTTCATGGCAGATGTGTCTAAGAATAGAGGGCATAGGTTTAAGGTGACGAGCAAGTGATTATTTAGGAGATCTCAGAAAGAACTTTTTCACCCAGAGCGTGGTAGAAGTATGGACATGCTGCCTGAGAAAATGGTGGAGGCTATACTCTTGCAACATTTAAGAAGCATCTGGATGACCACTTAAAATACCAGAGTATCGTGGACTATGGAACAAGTGCAGGTAAGTAGGATCAAGGCAGTGTGGTGATTGTTGGTATGACATGGTGGGCCAAAGGACCTGTTTCTATGCTGTATGTCTCTGTATGACTGTATTATCTCACCATTTCTTCTGCATTGCCTGGTCAAAATCCTGGAATTCCCTCCTTAACTGTGTTTTGGGTGTCCTGACACCGAGGATAGCAGTGCTTCAAGAAGGCAGTTCATCTCTGCTTTCTCAAAACATGCAGAGATGGACAATAAGTACTAGCATAGGCAGCAAACTTCACATCTTGTGAAGATGTAAGAAAGGAGTGGCCAGGCTTCCTGTTCTTGACCATGGTTAAATGTTTAACACTCCTATCTCTGTCTTTGAAAGGTTTATCACACACTAAGCTCAAAATTGTAGATGAATACTCACTGCAGTACCAATGGAGAGCTGCGGCAATGTATTCCAGAAACACTATTAAACTGAGGCACCGTCTGTTGTCTAAGATGTGCATGAAAGACTCAACAGAACTAATTCAAATAGCAACCACAGAGTTCTCTGTGATGTAATGGTACAGTTAAAAACAAAGCAGAATTCCTGATCAATTCGATTTTGATGTTTGTGGGCTCTTGCTGTGCTCAAATTGTCTGCCTTGCTTTCCTATTTTACAAAAGTGACATTTCATCTAGCTGTAAAGCACTCTTGAATTGCTTTTATTCATTCTTGGATGTCAGCATTTCATGTCAAATGAGAATTTGCCATCCCTTCCTCAGTGCCCTTGAGAACCTGGCAGTGAGCTGACTTCTTCAACCACTGCAGCCCATCTGATGTTGGTACACCCACAGTACTGTTAGGGATGCAGTTCCAGGGTTTTGCCCCGGTGACAATGAAGGAGCATTGATATATTTTCAAGTCAGGGTGGTGAGTAGCTTGGAGGGAAATTTGGAGGTGGTGGTGTTCCCTTGTAGCTGCTGCCCTTAACCTGGACAGTGTTCAGAAGGGGCCTTTGGAGGAGCCTTGGTAAATTACTCACAGAACATCTTGTAGATAGCATTCACTGCTGCCACTATGCATCAGTGGGGGAATGAATGTTGAATGGTCGTGGTTAGGGTGCCAATCAAGTGGGTTGCTTTGTCTCAGATGGTGTCAAATGCATGAGTGTTGTGAATTTAAGCTCATTCATTAAGGACAGAAAAGAGGAAACTTTTCTCAAACAAAGCATTATTTTGATATTCTCACAGAAAGTCCCCAGAACATCAGCCTGGGCCTTTGGATTATTTGTTGAGTACAGCACCACTATGCTTTCCTATTTAAGTCAGCATGCAGGAAAAACCTCTTCAATTTGTGAGACTGGGATTCACGAACAAGACGTGTGCTTGAGCTGGACACTGCACCAATATTCAAGATTCAGTTCAATAAGTGGCTGAGGGGATTGGAGTTGAAAGGACATTGGTGAAAAATGGATAAATGTGTATAGAACAATTTGCTCTCACAGAGGGTAAACACCAACACAGACTTGTTTAATTGAATGGCGTGGTTCCTCAGTAACTGCTAAGCATTTCAGCGTTGGGTGGTTCCTTGATCACTGTGTCAGAGATGATGATGGCATTAACGTTTTCGTCTGTCTCAGCCAGTGAGGGAAATGAAGTTTCATCAGTCCTTTGAGATCTGCAAAATAAGATTGTTAGGTTATGAACCAGAATATTAACTGTTAAAATCTGACTTTGTTATAAATATATATATTAGTACTGGTATCGAATTATCACAGAAAAGTATACATCTAAGTTGACGAAGAATTTGTCTTGGTAGAATGGTTTGACCAGAGGAGGGGAAACCGAACAAACTTGGATGTGGTGTAGAATGGTGCAAAAGCAGTAAGATGATGGGAAGAAGTTATTGTCAAGTTGTACTGTTACTGCTGAATCTAAAACCTGTCCGTCCATAAGAATGGAATCAGAATGTCCCTCTCTCACTCTGTCTATGTGCACAGCCACCAACACCCCCCACCCCCAAGACGAGAAAAGCAACCATGGGGTGGTTCCACTCAAGATGATGGTGGAGTAGAAAACTCCAACTGGAGGTCCTCCGCTCCTTCTGTTTATTTTTTGTTTCTTCTTTTCTTCCCCCCTTTCCCCCTCTTAGTGTTCTGTCCTGAGGTAGAGCAGGCTGAAAGCCCACTCGGAGCAGGGACAACCAGTGGGGCCCGAGCACTGTAGGATTGACAAGCAGGCTGGAGGCCTGAGTGGAGCAGGGATGGCCAGCATGCCCCAAGTGGAGCGGGGACAGCCAGTGGGCTCGAGGCTCGAGAAGACTGGGGATGGCCAGTGGGCAGGATGCTCGAGAAGAGTGGGGATGGCCAGTAAGCTGGAGGCTCAAGAAGACTGGGGATGGCCAGCGGGCAGGATGCTCGAGAAGAGTGGGGACGGCCAGCAAGCTGGAGGCTCGAGAAGCCTGGGGACGACCAGCGGGCAGGATGCTTGAGAAGAGTGGGGCCGGCCAGTAAGCTGGACGTTTGAGAAGACTGGGGACGGCCAGTGGGCAGGAGGCTCGAGAAGACTGGGGGCGGCCAGTGGGCAGGAGGCTCGAGAAGGCTGGGGGCGGCCAGCAAGCTGGAGGCCTGGGCAAGCTGGATGGTTGATGGACTGGGGTCTGGTGTGGGCAGTCAGTGACCTGTGAACCCGGGCAGACTATGTGTGGAAGCCTCCTTGCACTGATCGACTGAAAGACTGTGATGCTCATCTTTTTTAACTTTATTCCCATTTTTCTAACTTATAGTATGAACAACTGCAAGTAATGCGACTTCTTTTCCTTTCTTTTTGCCTTTATTTCTGTATTTTGTATAGGTACAGATGGTGCCATATGGGGTGACATTGTAAACTTTTCACTGCACTCCTGTACTTCTGTACTTGAGTACATGTGATAATAAAGGGTATTTAATTTTAATTCTAATGCTAATTCTTGAGGTATTGTGGCAAATTCGCTATGCAAATGCTTCAAGTTAATCACAGTGTCACAAACAATTCCTGGTTGGTCAAGAAAAACCTGATCAGGTCAAGGTCATCGTAATCTTGAGGGGAAGGAGTTAATTGGTTAAAAGCAACAATAAAAAGAGGGCCTTCTGGTAGGATTCCTGTGGGTGGGAAATCTTGAAAACAGAATGAGAACAAACAAGAGATAGAACCAGAGAAGAAGAATCCAAAACCTAGAATCTGCAAGTGGAGAAGAAATCACACACTCGCTGTTCAGTGAGAATGCAGGACGTTTATAGCCCATGTTATATTCTAAATCGCTGTATGAGGTTAATGCTGCTGTTACCTGAAAACATAATAAACTTGTCTGTCTTCATCTCATTAGAATAATCTCATGACTGAACATTTGGACAGTCCGTTCCTGTAACAATTAGGTATTGAAAGACTCCTCACTACCAACAACAACAAAATAATAAAAATAGATTCTTATGATTCTGCTCAGTAAGTTAACTCTGATCCATGAAGCACACGTAAGGACACAGGAACTGGTCAGAAGAGAGCACAGCAGAGAAGGAAGACAGGCACATTGAGTAACCAATCCTGGTGGAGACCTACATTGTAACATGTCAAATTTCACAAATGTAGACAGCTTTCAAATCTGAATCACCGTGAATCCAGTTAAATACACAAGGTAATAGCAGTTTTAAAATAATACTGGCTGTGAAACCTGTCTTTTATCTGTGGGCAGGCAACTCAAAAAAATGGCACGAACCACTAGTCAGCACCTGGCATGTGTCAATGTTCCCACACATCCATTTCCTTGTGATTCTAGGTGGTGGAGGTCAACAATTTGCGAAATGCTTTCAAAGGAACTGTGGTGGGTTTCTGCAATGTATCTTGTAGATAGAACACATTGCTGCTTCTGTTCATTGTTGGGGGATGGAATAGGTGCTTAAGGTAATGGTTGGGAAACAGATGAGGTGGGCTGCTTTGCCTTGGATGGTGCCGAGCTTCTCAAGTGTTGTTGGAGCGGCACAAATTCAGGCAAGCAGAGAGTTTTCCATCAAATTCTTGACTTATACCTTGTACCTTATACCTTGTGGTGGCTCAGCTTTGAGGAGACAGGAGATGAGATACTAGCTGCAGAAATTCCTGGCTCTGACCTGACCTGACTTTAATCAGACTTCTAATCAAAATTTGTGGTTGAGACACGCAAAGCTATCCAACCCACAAGCATCACTGGATGAAAAGAAGAACTGTATGTTTTATGTGCAGATGCCCAGGAAATCTGACCAAATTTAACCTGCCCGTATTTGTAAAGGCTGAAAGGATTTTATGGATGAAAAGAAACCTCCTAATTGCTGTAGATTCATTTTATCTTTGCAGATCCAGTCTGTTGAGATTATGGAATGATTAACAAACGAGGTAAAACTCACGAAATTGGTTGCAAACCAATAAACAGCTATATCAAAGTTATCTTATAATTTGATGCCCAGTTATAACTTTGAACAGGATTTTTTACAAATGAAGATGCTCAGCAGCATTATCTGTCAACGTGAAGGAAAGGGATTGTTAATGACTGAACGTGTTTCAGTTCAGCTGGGCCAAAAGGTGATATGAAAACTGTGAGAGAATGATGCACCCTGATGTGGATGCATGACTTTATAATTTCGCTTCCTTGACATGCAAAGAAACTGGATGTTTTTTGACAGGCTCCACCAAATAAATTCTTTCTTTAATTCTCTAAACAACAGTTTGAACAATGACAGTAATTTAAGGTTCTTGGATTGTTTAATTTTCCTGTGATTATAAAATGTTTGTGCAACCCAGAAGGAAAGCTGATATAATATTCTGTCATAAACATCCTCGAAGTCTTCTGTCACATTCATGAGGAATACAGGAAATTTCAACAGTTAGACACTGTCAGGGGAATCTCTGTTATTGTAGTTTATATGAAGAATTGTACACTTCATGAAACAATTTTTGCTTAAGGTGAATTTTGATCGTGTCAATGAAACACCTGGCTCATTTTGAAAACAAAGCTGTAAACGTCGTTGCTAAATACAGTTCAGTGCTTAAGTCAGGTAACTTGGGAAGCAAACAAAGGACGATCAGCAGCAGGTTGAAAATTTACCGACTGATTGTGTGTGCGATTTTGTATAACATATTTGTGAATGATGGGTGCCTTGTTAATGGGCATCTGCCATATTTTGATGCGGTTTAATTGCCTAAGTTGAGCTGTGACTGTTGTCTCAATGGACTGAACGAGATGCTCTCCTGCCAGTGTGTTTCTGTGCAGGCTGTGAAAATCCCATGGCTGGCCTTCCCCCACTCTCTCTTCCACGCTGACCTGTCTGCAGTTTTACAGGGGGATGGGTGAGACTGAGACCGGACAGTGCTTCGGCCAGGTGAGACCCTTAAGTGGGCAATTAATTACCTGAAAGCTGGTTTTCCCCATTGTCTCAATTTTCAGGCTGGTGGGAGGTGTTCAAGTACACAGGACACCCTCCTCTCCACCTTGTGCACCACCCACCGACACGGTTTGCCTCCCCTAGATAGGTCTGTTCCCTCCTTCCCCATTTCTTCTTCAGGGCCCCCAGTTCCCAACACCACCCCCACACCTCCTCCCCCTCCCCGGCCTCAATGTCCTTTATCTGCGCAACACCTCCTATACTTATCTGGCTCTGGATTCTGGGACATAGAATCTAGGGGCTTCTTGCAGCCCCAGTCCACTGCACTGTCCCATTGTCGGTACAATAGAGATTGAATCATCCAGTTTCTAGTGCATCATCGATTAAATCTCATATCCCTAACAGTAGAGTGACCTATCAGGGGTCAGTGGTTACATTTCACAGGCTGATTGATGTTAGTCAAGGCGTACTTACCGATAAGACCGTCATTGTGTTGGCTTTATCCTCCTCTGAGGCCACTGTGTCCATTGCCTTATACATCCTGGCGAAGTAATTACAATAAGCGGCTCTCACCTTTGGACACAATGCAGTGGGACGTCAGTGATCTCGTGCTATCTAACTAAATGCAATCAACTTGAATTTTAGTGAATCTCTGATCTTCACATACCTGTAGTACACATCAGAATTTCAACTGCCTTAAATGTATTGAGCAACCACCTTGGTCTTGCAGTCCCCTCTCTCTGTCTCTTACCTCAAGTGACAGACTGTGACCCTCTCAGCATTGGAAGGCTTTCCATTGGCCGTGCAGCATTGAGAAATGGGCTCTGTCCTCAATTCATAAATCATAGAATCCCTACAGTGCAGAAGGAGGCCATTCGGCCTATGGAGTCTATACTGATCCTCCAAAAAGCATCCCATCCACTATCTCCATAACCCCATGGCTAATCTATCTGGGTGGTGGATTCAACTAATTGGAAGGTGAGCAAACCTTCTGGTAATCAATTGACCAATTTTACAAAAGTGGTTTTGGGTGTCTATTCCTGACAGGGTATGGAATGTAGAACCTTGTTTGAACCGAGTGTCAGGATCCTGAGGCCAAAAGGATCAAGCAACTTTTGCAGAGACAGTAAGATCATTCGTAATTCTGAGTCCCATTCTAATACTGTGGGGAATTGGTTCAAATCCCATTGTGGTAACTGGTTGAATTTGAATTCAATGAATAAATAAGGAATTGAAAGCTAGCCTCAGTAACATGATTACCTAGTCATTGGGTTTACTAACACCCTTTAGAAAAGGAAATCTGTCATCCGACCCTCTCCGGCCTGCATGTGACTCCAGAACCAAATAATGTGGTCAACTTTTAACTGCCCCCTGCAATGGGTACACAACTGAAGGACAATTAGATACGGGCAACAAACACTGTCCTTTACAGCAATTCTGCCATTGGATAAATAAACTTCTGAAAAATTGCAAATAAACGACATATGCCCTTTTGCCTAAGGTTGTGGAAATCACAGTAAAAACATACATTTTTCTTCATATAATGCAGGTCAAATTTGTATGAACAATATTTACTTCAGTGAACTACACTTGCTGTGCTTTTACGGGGCTCCTCTGTGAGATATTGGGGGTTTCCAAAAAAAAATGTTAACATCTGCATGGAATGTAGAAATACTTGTATTGTTATAGCACCTTTCATGATTTCAGGAGCATCCAATGTGCTTGTGTTATGGTGTAATTTTGATGTCGAGTCACTGTTGGAATTGGGGAAATATGGCAACCAGTGTGTGCTTAGCAAACTCCCAAAACCTGCAATATGATTCTGTCCAGGTGATCTGTTCTTATCATGTTGGTTTAGAGATAAAGATTGGCCAGCTCTTCTTTTCTTGAGAACCATGGGATCTTTTACGTCCATCTCAGCAGATCAAGGGAGTCTCTGTTTAACACCTCATCAGAAAAAAGGATCAGATCAAAACTTTCATAAGAGGTTACCTAATTGGCTTAAGACAGTCACTCTGTGACCACAGCACTGCTCACCTTGGGATTTAATATGCAGAGGAGGATGAAGATGAATGTGCCTTGGAAACTGTTGATGATGGTGAATAAATAGGTCATTACACCGGGCTCTTCCTGAAACTGAAACAAACCAAAAATCCAAGTGCAGCCCAGGATGAACACCTGAGCAATGGCTTTAAATGTCAGCATCCTGCATTAGAAACAGAAAAAGATCTGTGAGAATGCAAGTAGCCAGGGCACCAAAAGATTAGATCAAAGTTCTGCAGCTCTGCAGTTATGGATGTTTGTGGATGTGGAAGCAAATCATGGGATAAGGAAGCTCCAAGAGCATCCCCTCTCTAATGCATGTGTATTTGGTAATAACCAGCAGTACATCAGTTACAGAAAATAATGAATGAGATATTGTATGTTGTGATAACTTTGTTTTACAGTAGTCACATGAAAAGATTTCAAGCAGAATTAAAAATTTTTAATGTTCAATAATTGTTTTAATATTGTACATGTGGTGCATTGATGTCAGAAAACAATTCCTTGAAATAATGCTGACTTTTAAGAATGTACCCAATGAAACCTTTATGGAATGAGGCCATTTAAATATTTTAGTCTGTGTTGGTTCTTTGAACTGGCAATCCATTTTGTCCTATGCCTCTAATCATTCCCCGTAACAGTGCACTATATCAGAGTGAGGTGGATGCTGGGACTCTGAATACATTTAAGGAGGAGATAGACAGATTTTTAATTGTTCAACATTGGAGAAGTTTTGAAGGGCTGAATTGCCCTTTCCTGCTCCTAGTTCTTACATTCTATGTAATTTACCCATCTTTACATGTTCCTGTAAATTTCAACAATATTTGCGTAAAGTTCGAGATAATAGTACCTTACTTTGTATTCTGAAGTTTAGACACTTGAGTGTCCCGCTTGGAAATTTCTCTTTTCAATATCAAGAGTATTGTGAAGTACAGAGCTGTGTTGATCTGTTGGAAGATTTCAAAATATGTTGAATGAATGTAAACAAATTGTTGTTGGAAAATATCTGGAACTAGGTCTTTTTAATTCTTAAATTTGTGTGATTTGCCAAGTGATGTTCACAGCTGGAATGGTGAAATTTCACACTGTTCTCCCTGCTAACATTTTTTTACGAGGATTTTCCCTGCCTGCTCTGAAGTAACTGATTCTGGGGAGACAGACAATGGAGAAGGGAAGTAAAGGTTCTGGGAGCGAGTGGCTATGGATGGAGTGGTCATGTGGTGAATTCGTTTTGCCAGACAGGGTATGGGGAAGACAGGATATGGAGGTTTGAGGACATGGAAGATACGCTGTGCAAATCAGATTGTGGGAGAGGGTGTAGTATACTGAAAATTACATTGTGCACTTGGCCACCTGGGGCTACCGTACAGACATGTTACATGAGAGGGAGTCTGCATCGAATGGAAAGAAAGGACCCATCTTTAATAGCTTCTGCAGTTCTAATTCTAAATGTCTTTGGCTGAATGTAGAGCTGTTTCTGTCCCAGAAACATTACAGAGGGAGTGGGAGGGGAGTGATTGGAATGATGTCCGCCAATTGGATCTCATAGAATATGAGTTCCCTGATTGGGCTGTTAACCTGGTCCAATCAGGGAGTTCGAGCTGACAGATACAAACAGGAGTGCCAGGGGTTCTGCTCACACTAGGATCTGGCTCTGTGCTGGCTGGGGCAATGTAATGTACTATGTACGTGTAAATAAAGGATGATTTGGTGATGGGATACCGACAGTTTGTGGAGCAATTTCAGGGAGAGAGAGAGTATTAGTAAGAGATAAAGTGCAAAAACAGTCTGTTATGAAGTATGGGATATAAATAAGTGACAAATTAATAATTACTGCTCGTGATGGTTTGATTTTATTTTAATTTATTACTGTCACATGTCCCAAGATACAGTGAAAAGTATTGTTTAGTGTGCTGTCTAGCCAAATTATATCTTACGTCAGTTCATCAGGGTAATATAACAGAATACAGAATAGAGTATTAGAGCTACAGAGAAGGCTCAGAGAAAGATCAACTCTAATATATGAGAGGTCTGTTTGTAATTTGGATCACAGTGGGGAAGAAGCTGATCTTGAATCTGTTACTGAGGTTAAGAAAATAAAAAAGGGGTTTACTGCACATTTTAAACAGAATCAGTTGATGCAATCAGATAGAAATAAAACATGAGAGATTTGATATGATTAATTTGTCAGTTACCAGAATGATCAGACACACAGGTCCCAGGAAACTCCAGATGAATCCTCTGTCTGTGGAGATCCAGCAGCTGGAAGTTAAGAGAAGAAAGTAAATCATTCGGAACAGTGAGTATCAACAAGAGAATAGCTCCCATGAAGCATGATCAATTTATAGTGCAAAAATATTTTTATAACCCGTGCACTGATTGGATGATAATGTTCTTTGTGGTTGTAGGTAAAAATATTTCAGAAGATTTTCATTCCTCAAGAAATGTGGTGATTAACAGGCGATGGGTCCTGAATTCAACTTGGGGACACCCTTCCCCTGACTCTTCCTTACTGTTTGTTTTGGGCTGTATGAGGCTTTTGAACTATTCACATTTCTTTCTGATCGGATGTTGACTGTACTCTCCATGTATGCTTCTGCAAAAGATTCCACACACCGTTTTGATGAAGAGCAGAAATATTTTCTCCAGTGCTCCTCAATCAAAATGAAAATATTCATTCACAGGTTGTGGGCATCCCTGGTTAGGCCAACATTTACTGCCAATCCCTACTTATCCAGAGGACAGCTAAATGCCAACCACTTTGCTGTGGGTCTTGATTCACATGTAGGCAAGACCAGTTAAGGATGGCAGTTTCACCCCTATAGGGCTTCAGTAAATCAGATAGGATTGTCTCTCTCTCTCTGTCTCTCCATCTGCTATAAAACCAAGGCTGGAAGGATGCACTGTTGTTCTCACCTCACTGCTCGATGGCTCACAATATTGAATGAAAATGGCCAGCTAAATATCTTGTCCATATCGGGTTTTAAATAACAAAGTCTCTCAACCAGGTTTCTTTATAAACATCATTGTTGGTTTACTATCAAATTTGTCAAAATATTACAAATGGATTCAATGAAGATGCAGTGAGTAGTGAACATATGCAGCTGGTAGTATAGATGTATAATGTTTATCTCTGTCAATAGTCCCAAAACACACATTCTGGAAAAGGAAAAAAATCCCCTAGATTTCTCTGCAGCGATTGGCTTTCTGAAGAAAAGACATTTTGACCAATGGATTATTTATTTAAAAATGGGCAGTGTAAGATGTCCCGATGTTTGTCGCTCCGATGTTGTGGCATGTGTGGTCAGGTTATCAATCACAGATAATTGTTTCTGGAGTTGCTCAGATGTAGCTTGCTTAAGAAATACAATCTTGAGAATTTGTTTTCCAGTCATTCTTTCAGGAGAACAAATTAGTTTCACCTTGAACTCAACAAGAGGGTTCTTTCAGAAATAGGAAAGATCGGCTGGGGTAGTCTTCCCTCGCAGATTTCCTGCCTCTGACTACTTACAGATTCCAAAGCCCTCTAACCAAAAGCTGTCACTGTTTAACCAGCCCGAGCACACAGCGGCTCCGTCAGAACACACTTCTATCACCAGTCATGTGACTCCTCGGAAACCTTGAAATCTCTAATGAACACATTGACCTTCAACAACACCATTTAAAGAAACTACATTGGGTATTTCCATAAAACTTGAATAAATACATTTTTCCACAATCCTTCCAACTTAATTCCTCTTTGAATTATTAAATATGACATGTCTTTGTAACAATATGAATTATGAATGAGTTAAGGGCAAGCATTGAGACTGCTCCATCATTCAACAAGATCATGGTTGATCTGATTGTGACCTCGATTCCACATTCTCACTTGACCCTTCCAGTCATCTTTGAATCCCTTGTGTGTCAAGAATCCATTTACCCCTGCATTGAAAATATTCAATGACCCTGTCTCCACTCCTGTCTGGGGAAGAGAGAACCAAAGACTCACAATCCTCTGAGAGAAAATGTTTGTCCTCGTTGCTGCCTTAATTCAGAGGCCTCCTATTTTAAAAACTGGACATCCCCCCACCTAATTTTGGTCTCCCACTAAAGGCAAACATCTTATCAGCATCCATTCTGTCAAGTCTCTCCACAATTTTAGACTGCTAAACCCAAATGGATATACTCCCAGCCTTCATAACCGCTTCATACAACATAAAACCCCCGACAGCGGGGTTCCATTCCTTGATGTGACTGAATCAAAATGATGCCGCACACAGACTCAGGGCCATGTGTGAGCTATGATGCTTGTTGGCTGCTGTTCCCTGACCAGGTCTTTTTCAATATGCTGTCTTCTGTTTATTTCCATGTTGCATAGTGTGTATTGCTCTTGTATTGGCTTAATGCCAGCCGGCCAGCCACCCTTTGGGGACAGTCACATTTTGTATAAAATTGGGTCACTCACTTCTCGTCAATAGCATGCCTGCCTATTTAGCCATTTCCCCACCACAAGGACATGGACTTCATCCCTTTTTCACTTGCCCCACATCTGCAGCCAATTCTCTGGGTTTCCATTCTCTTTTTATCGGCCCAAGACCTTTCCATCCTTCGTTCATGACTGTGGTTAACAAGTGTCAAAATTCCTTTTGCTAAAAAATGAATTATACAATTGCAAATGTTGATGATCAGAAAGTGCACTTTCTGAAAGGATGGCATGAGCAGATTGAATGGTAAGTTTCAAAAGGAAATCGATGTACATACTTGAAAAGGAAAGAAACTTTACAGAGTTTTGGTACTGAGGGATGGGACACACAGGCAGAGAGAGAGACAGAGAGAAGTGAGGGAATAGATAAGAGCAAAATGGACGAGAAGAGAGTGAGAGGAGAACATGAGTAAAGATGAGAGGAAAGGATGTAGGTCACGGGAGGAAAGCTGAACATTGGAGGAAAAATATAACAAGACCATGTCTTCTGGTTCCCATCGCGTAGAAGTAGTCATACTTTCAAATCAAAAATGCTGGAGTTTCATTGAGTGTATTTCTCACCATTTTCCCTTTGGCTGGCGGACTGACAGATTGATACTTTGTTACTCAGTGCATGACCACAGTGAATCAGTGAATGTGGCACCTCAGGATATGTATTCACATATCATTCAGTCACAGATCAGATCCAAGCTCTTTACGAATAATATAACCACAAACTTGCACATAAGGCACGTTGAATGTCTCAAAGCTCGTTATAGGGAATGAAATATTTTTGGTGTGTGGGCACTGTTGTAAAGTGGGAAAAATGTCAGCCAATTTGCAAACTACCACAAGCAACAATGTAATAATGACCAGGGTCTCTTTCGTGAGATGTTGATTGAGGGATAAATACCAATCAGGATACTCTGTTCTTTCCCATAGGATCTTCTATATCCACCTAAGTAGTTAAATGGGGCTTTGGTTTAATGTCTCATCTGAAGAATGGCATCTCTGCAGTGCAGCTGTCCCTCAGTGCTGCATTGAAACGCCAGATTTTTGTGCTGAAACTGTCGAATGGGGTTTGAATGCAAAATCTTACTCCTCAGATGTGACAGCGTTACCATCTGAGCCTCAGGTGACACGTGAAGTGAATGCGAAGGGTTGGAGAAAACAGAGATGAAAGGAAGAGAGATGAGAACAGGTGAGGAGAGCAAAAAGGGAAGGTGAAGACTGGAGGCCGTGGTGGGCAGAAGAAGGAAAGGAATGGAGAAGAGTCAAGGGCAGGAATTAAATGGGATAAATCATGGACTTTGGGCTGTTTCTATTGACAAAAACAAGTCTGCAATAAATAGAAAGAAGGTTAAATTCTGACAATGGCTGTAACTGTAAGGTGATAATTTCAGTTGCAAGATTTGAAAAAGAGGAGCCATTATTTACTGCCTGGGTGACCCATAACCATCGCGATACACTGCAGCAGAAATGAACACAATTATTGCAGGGACCCCATAGCCAAGAAGGTACATGAGTTTCTCAACTTTTCCTGAATGGGGAACTCTTAAATTCCTGATGTTTCTGACCATGAGAAAGAGGTGGATTCCCTGCAGAAACATCCAAACAAACGCAGCCAGGAACAAGTAGTGTAAAAATCCTGCTATAATCCCACACATCACCTGTAAGAATGAGAAACAGCATGAGACCCTTTCTTGAAGGAGCGATTCCTCACAATTCCACCTGACACACTCCTGGGTCTAACACCAAAACCATGTCCTTGCTGATGTTTTATGCTCTTCAGCAGAAGGGTGCACCATTTGGATTGAGCCAATGGCCATCTGTACCATTACAGAAGCATCCCTACCTGCCATCTGTACACTTCACCTCTTTCAGTCTTCTCATGACGAACCTCTTCTGACTGAAAGCCAGATGAAACTTTCGTTTCTGCACCTGCATTTCTCTTGAGGTCCATTTCTGTTAATCTAAAATTCAATTAACTTGTGCCACTTGGTTTGCTGGCCTCCTGTCCTCTGCTGGATTCCTTCAGAGGTAGCGAAGGTGGGACTCAACCCATAGATTGTCTCCAGCCTCTGTCTGGGGGGGAGTTCACCCGCAGAATATGTCCAGTCCCTCTCTGCCCCCTTGGATTGCACTGTAAGAATTTTGTGGTGGTGTTGTTTAATACAATTCAGAGAATAGGGAAGGTGGTAGGGAGGATCCCAACCTAATTGTGACCTTGGTTTATCGCAGTGGGATCCAATACATTCTCCCTGCAGTTATGGTGGAAATCTGGGAGAGTTAACAAGGCAATCTCAGGCTCTTGCATTTTAACTTCTAATGGTACAGCTTTTGAATGAAAGCTGAAGGGCCAGTATTGGAAGCAACTGGTGAAACGGGTAATATAAGCTGTAACTCCGTGAAAATTAACAGCTGGACCACATTGAGACCTTGATAACAATCAGTCAAGGGGACCTGTCTGATCACCTTCAGGCTGACTGTGAGTGGAAGGATAAGTGCATTGAGGAACTGTGGACCAGCAAAAACACAATTACACAAGACAAAAACGTACTGAATCTGAAAAAACATGTTGTGTCATTTACACATGTCCATACAGGAGAAAGCAATTTGCTTGATTGGTGGTGTGTCCATGACCTGAAATATTCACTTCCTCTGCCACCAGTGCACATTTGCAGTAGTGGAGACCACCCAGTAGATGCACTGCAACAACTTGTCATAGTTGCTTAGGCAGCACCTTGCAAACTCCCAACCTCTTTCTCTGGAAGAATAAGGGCAGCAGGAGCATGGGATCATCACCATCTCCAAGTTTGTTCCTGAGTTACAAACATCCTGAATTGGACATGTATCATGGATCCTTCATTATCAATGGGTCAAAATCCTGGCAATCCATGCCATACAATACTTGGGGAATCTGCATAACGTGGGCTGCAATTGTTCAAGAGGGTGGCTCAGCGCGACTTTCTCAAGGAAAATTAGGACAACAATAAATGCTGGTGAATTGCCAGATCCCGAAAATGAATTTTAAAATACTGATGGATGCGTACACAGATGAACCCAAAGAAAATTGACAGGCAGACAGTTGGACAGAGAGATAGTCCATATGCACACACAGGTAGATATTAGATTCACATCCTCACAGCCACAGCAAATGAATCTCAGAAATACTTGACACTTGGAAAAACATTCACATCCACACATTTGCACATATACAGGGAGAAAAAAACTAGCAGTTATAATATGCCTTGAACAAAGTAAATCTATCCCAAGTTATTTCACAGAATATTTTCAGACATAAAGCTCAGCTTGACACCAAACGAAAGGAGAAAACATTAGGACGGCTGCTGAAAAGCTTGGTCAAAGAGTTCAGTTTTAAGAGTTTCTTTAGGAAAATTGGTGGGGAAGAAGACAGGTTCAGTGAGGAAATTCCAGATTTCTAACAACTGAAGGTACAGTCACTAATCGTGGGAGAAGGAACTGAGGTTTTCATAAGCGACAAAGCTTGATACACAAGGATCAAATCTACACTGAAATGAGCATAAAACATATGTGTACAGGAGTACACAATCAAACCCATTCAGTTGGACTTAACAGATATGTACACACATACTCAAGTACACTCACATACTTGCATTCAAACCCACACATGCTCAGACACACTTTCTGTTCTCCATGCACACATTTACTCTGTCACAAACACAGACCTTACTCTCTCTCTCACATGCACATTTTCTCACACATACACGCAACTCTGTCATATGGACACTCATGTACTCTCGCTGTCACACAGACACTCTCTTACACATACACACTCAGACACAATAACTCTCTCTCACACACTCACTCTCACAACCTCTTACATTGCTGGCTGTGGTGGGTTCCCTTACTTGGTTTCTGGTTCTGTTGATCCCGACAGGGAAAAGCAGCTCTGCCAGGAAGAGACTCACGCACAGCTGCATGTGGGTGATATATAGAGCATTCCTTAAACTGGTACAGAAAGCAAAGGTCACAATGGTAATTCCAAGACACACCAGAGAAATTGGAATTCCAACCAATGTAATTATAGTCAAGGCAAAGGGATAGTCCTATTAGAAAGAAAGAATTTGCATTAATTTTGTATCTTTCAGAACATCACAACATACTCCTCTGGTAACCTGATAGGGTCAAAGTATGGGGAGGCTATAACCTTAAAATGAGAGCTCATCCAATAATGTGTTGTCGAAACCGTACTGTTTGATATTTCTGTGTTTCTGATTGTGGACTGGATTGGGAAAAGGACTGTTTTAAAAACCAAAGATGGTGAAAGGAATCACTGCACCTTTTAAAAGTCAGATGATCCACAGTTTTTGTGCTGTTTACACAGCTGTTTGTTCAAGCAGTGGGAGTAAGTTACTACAAATGGGCTGGAGCCAGAGGTGTATGCAAAGGAAGATTTGGCCAGCAACAAGTAGCTGATTGGTATGGGACCAGTGACCAGTTTTTAATGACAAAGGCCCTCTGCCTGTCAACAATTATTTGAATAACTCTCATGCAGTTGAACATCTTGTGAACGTGACTGTTTAGCTTGAAGCCTACAGACCTCAGGAAAGGAAGGTGAATACATCTAAGGTCTAAGAGAGCTGATATATATAGCCTTGTCAGTTACTGCGAGCTGTCACTTTCAACCAATATATCAGAGATGTTATCATTATGAACTAATCACCCTGTACCTCCTGCAAACAACTGAAAGTAGCTGTAGATGGGAGATTGAGGAGCAGCAATAGGATCATTTCAACAAACTTGGTTGGAGACAAAAAAACTGCAGATGTTGGAATCCAAGGCAGACAAACAGGAGGCTGGAAGAACACAGCAAGCCAGGCAGCATCTGGAGGAAAGTGGAAGTCAACATTTTGGGTATTACCATTCTTCAGGACTGAAGATGGGTAATTCCTGAAATGTTGACTTTTCCTTTCCTCCAGATGCTGCCTGGCTTGCTGTGTTCTTCCAGCCTTCTGTTTGTCGACCATCTAAGCAATCCCTGTGGATAGGGACCACATTGAACTACCTTCCCAGTCTTCCCCTCCACCAAAGACACACCTTTTTTTGTGTCTGTAAGCATGTGTAGGGGGAGTTTAAATGGAGGTTAGAGTTTTCTAACCTTTAACTGAACAGTCCACATAATGTCTGATATCTCTCAAAATCTTGATTATGTTTTTCATTCTCAGCATTTCACCTTCAATTCACTCTCTGTCTCTCTTTCTCTCTGTCTTTTTCTATGGCATCATCATTGTCCTGATGTCGCTATGGGGCAAAGTATGAAGCCTGGTCCCGGGAAATTATCCACTAGCTCCTGATATTATTTCCTTTCATTCTGTGCCACTTTCCAGCCACTGAAGCTAACCAGCTCCCCTTTAAGTCACTTCAAGTCCCAAACTCATCGACGCTTTGAATACTGTTCTCGTACCACTGTGTTACATACAATACAGAGCCAGGCCATTCAGCCCAACGTATCCCTGCCAGTGTTTGTTCTTCAAATGAGTCTCCCCCCACTTCTCTTCACCTGCCATTTTCAGCCTAACCATTGATTTCCCTTTCCCTCAAGTTTTGTTGGTCGTCCAACTTCCCCTTAAATGAGTTTACTTTGTGCACTTCAATTACCTCACAAAGTCCCACCTTCTCACCATTTCCTGTGCAGAGGTTTCTCTTCAAATCCCTGTTTATGCACTATGCACGTACTCCCTGATATTTTTATCTCCTATCTTGTTGACGTTTTGGACCGCACCAGAAGTGGAAACATCTCTTTACCTGGTCGAAAACCTTCAGAATCTTAACCATTTCTATTAGGTTTCGCCTTAGCCTTCCTGTTTCTGGAACAAAGTCCACTCTGTTTAGATCTTATTTCCGAGAAATGGAATTCACTACCTCCTTCTGTCTTATGGATTTTCAAAATCCAGTCATACTGTCTCTTCATCAAAGCACCTTTTTCTCACTTTTTTTCTCATTAATTCTGCATTATGATAACAATCAGATGATCTGATTTGTGGAGCACGCTCAAAATTTCTGCCACTTGCTCCTCTTCCCTGTCTGTCTACCACATAAAAGCACAATTTTCCAACTCCTTTCAGTTCCAAAGAAGAGTCAGGGAGGACTTGAAACATTATCTCCGCTTCTGTCTCCGTAGATACTGCAAGACATGTGGAATTTCTCTGTTTATATTTCTTTTTTTTAAGTGGTGTTGCCTCAGGGTTAGTGAAGCTAGCCTTCGTTACTCCACTGTTAATAGTGATGAGATAGATTTTGAACCATTGAGACAAGGGACAGATGAAGAGAACCAGGATATGAAATTCTGGAGATAAGGGAATTCATTACATCATTCCTGAATAGATGTAGCAGGAGCTCAGTTTGCATCATTTCCTATGACCAAAGTAGGTGTGGCATAGTAACAGAACAGATTTTGAAGAAAACACAGCTCCAACAGTTATTGAGGCTAATAAATGCAAACTCCCTGGAGAATGGTTGGCATGAACCTTGGTGTTTCCAATCATATCTGTAGCATATAGCTACACTGTGTGCATGTACTATTTATTGTATTGCCTCTCACCAATAAATACCTGTCAACAATATCATAACACCATTCATTCCCAAACCTGTTCATTAGATGCAGAGTTAGATGCAGAGAAACTGGAGGTTTCCTGGAGGTTTTTCTAAGATACAAGCTAACTGTTGGCATCTTTTATGTCTACTTTTAGAAATTCACTTTAATGTTTTATCCAAAAGATGACACGTCCAACAGGTCTCTCTGACTAATGCAGTGAGGTGTCAGCCTTCAGACCCTGAAAACGGCCCTTAATTTTGATAGCTACAATTGTCTCACACTCTCCTGATGCCTTGATCACCTAATATATTTTCTGCTATTAACACCTACAATTAACACCTATTCTTTCTCTCTACTGCTACCATTAACACTCCCCTTGCCTTTTACTCTGGGCGCCATCTCCATTTGTTCCACTCACTCCTTGGTCTTTCTCAATGCATGCAAACCAATATTTTCTAGCCCCATTTCACTCTGAAGAAGAGTCATTGGATTCTAGATCTAAATTCCACAGCCTGGGTTCTTGAATTGCAACATAACCTTTCGCACAATCACAACAACACTCAGGGCTTGTATCCAGTACATGAATTCAGAACTAACTGTGGAGAACTTAGATGAAGAAACAGTTTTACCTGCCATCCAACAGGAGACATTAGCAGTGCCAGGGTAGAGAGTTGGCTGCATCGACACTGAGTATGTGTTCGACTAGAACCTCCCACACTGCATCCACGAGGAGACCAGTAGCTTTTCCCAGCTGCATAATTCCAATGAACACAGTGCATTGTCCAATCACTGTTAGCTTGCTGTGGGGAGAAAGGTTCAAATTCAATATGAGAGGGATTCGATATAAACATAAGGATGTTATGCATCAGTTATACAGGGTGTTGGTAAGACCACATCTTAAATACTGTGTGCAGTTTTGGCCTCCCTTTTTAATGACAAATGTAAATGCATCGGAGATGGTTCAGAGGAGGTTTACTGGATTGATATCTCAAATGAGTGGATTGTCTGATGAAGATAGGTTGACCAGACTGGGATTATTTTCACTGGAGTTTAGGAGAGCAAGGGGTGCCTTGATAAGATCTTGAATGATCTGTACAAGGTGGATGTGGAAAGCATATTTCCTCTTGTGGGTGAGTTCAGAACAAGGGGACACTATGTTAAAATTATGGGTCACACTTTGGAGACAGAGATGAGAATTGTTTTTTTGCTGCAGAGAAAATAACTTTACACCTTGTGGTCTGGAATTTTGATATTCAGAATTTTGTTTACCCAGTCTGTATTCTTTTCCCACCCTTTGAATAAGTGTTAAACTATCTGTTCTTTGTCTGTCTAGATGATGATTGAGTCTGTGTTTATGTTTATGGTTTTGAGGGTGTAGACTTTAGTTTACATCGTGGTAGATTAGAAATGATTTCTTGCTTTTGGCAATGTGAAGTGTGTTGAAATAAGTAATTATTCTTCTGGTATGAATGAAACCTGGTGTGAAATGCTTTTGCCCTGACTATCAGTCAGTCGGGCAAATTGACCATTTTAGTGGTCCCAGTGGGATTTAATATATATTGTGGGGCTTGATTAATGGTGCACCCATTCCAGTGAAACTGTGACAGGTCTCAGAGCTGACTTTAGGTGGTTCATGTGTCAAATATCATTCTGTCACATAAAAGAAAAGTCTCTCCTTGCTGGAAGCAAGTGAAACTGTGTCAAATGGACACAGGACAATGGCGTTTGAGCTGACCTGCAAAACCATGCATCTCAAAATCAACTGCCTGTCTACTGACATCCTTCCTACCAGTTATCACCCTATGTAAAGGCTGCAAAGTCCCATTTTTCTACTCTTTGTGGAATTCACAGGCTGATGAGTGTATCTTTTTTAGCTTTAGTTTTGCATATATCTGATCCGTGTATACGAGTGTTGCATTATTATTTCTTCCTGCATTTAGCAATTAATAAACTTGCTCTTTCACTAAATCAAGGGAGCCTGTT